TTTTGAAAATGATAACTTTATTGAAAATGATGCGCAAGAACTTTCGGACCAACCTAATATATTACCTTTTCTTTCCACACCCACCTCAGGTGACTGTCCAGGTGGCTGGACACCTAACACCGAAAAAAGTTTGCCACGCTTTCAGTTCACATAACTTTTTCACAATTTTTCGCACATAGTCCTAACTCCCTATTGCCCATCTACACACCAATTTTGGTGCCATTTTCTCCTCGCTGTAAACAAGTTTTTTTTTATTTCGGACAGGTTTGAATTCGCGCGCTTAACCGGCGAACATGATGAAACAGGAAAATTTTGGTTTTTTAGCTCGATAAGGCAGTGAATGCGTCTTCTATAGAAGGTGGGTGACATAAAGGCAGAAGGCGATTGTGTGTGTGTGGGGAAGGGGGGGGGGAGAGGGGCGGGGGTTGCTGGAGTTCCCGCTTCAACGATATCCCTTGCTTTTTATATCAGAACGTCCAGCTTGCCCCCTAAGCCACCTGTGCCGAACCCTGATGGAAATGCATGATTAACAGGATGTAGAATGTTATATATAAACGTTTGGTTGCTGGCTTCATCATTCTTTCTGCAGCTTCATCTTTTTATCTGTAGTGCGAGGTCTTTCTGTCGACGATAATGTCGCATCAAGTATTCATAGCATGGCATTCCGCAACTAGCTTCTTTCTTTTGCAAGCATCCAAAATCATTGGTTGACTGCACTGATCCGCAAAACAAACATCTCAATTGGTATTACGAGGTCATCCTGTGCAACCCTCATGTATTATACAATATTGCTCTTGCATCGCGGCACGATACGTACATTGTCGCGGCTCACGCGATGCACGCCTATCCTCGATTCAAATCGTCCAGGATCACTGCACCTTGTTGGTCGAGCGCGCTACTGTATTAGCCACAAGAATCTTCTTGCTGGGCGCGTTGCCAAGTCTAAGAGTGTATATAGCGGCGAAATGCAAAATAGCTTTTTTGATTTCCATCCTTATTTTGGATTTTCTTCTTATTTCTCACGTATGCTCATTGCTCGTGCTGGGCAGCTCCTCAGTAAGCTCCTGCGGATGGTCTTATTTTTGGAGATTGGGCGAAATACTTGGTGACACTTTTCGATTGAGCAACGCTAAAGCGTGAGGAAAGTAGGAAGCGAGGTGTATGAAGATTAACGCAGCGGAGAGAGATTGTACCTTTCCTTCCCAGAGGCGATCAAGCGGTCGAAGTTCATAGATATCGCTGATGTCGCGCTCAGATGAACTAGGTGTTTATTGGCGGTTTGAGACGAAGCGGACTAGTCTCGTGTCTTTCTTCTTGTAGTACTTCAGTTTTTTCGTGTATTTTGTAATCATGACGATCTTTCTGAGCTAGCCGCACGTCTTGCTGTTAAGTAGTGGGGCAGTTCTGACGATCGCGCTGCAGTAGCTGACCGATGCTAGGGTTTGGAGGAGAAGGTCTCGGGTTGTGCAGGCACTCGAGCGAGGCAAGGGAGTGTGCTGAGCCCAACGAGTCGCAACCCTATCTCCGAATTCTGATTCATCTTTAGAACAGCAGAACGACATACGCAGAAATTCTTATATTACCTGTTTTACTATTAGGTTGGTGCAAAAGTAATGGCCGATTTCCGAATTCTCACTTTGGCGTGCTATAACTTTCTAAAAGATCCACATTTCTAAATGCGGTAAAGACCCCCAGGAGCAGCAAACCTTTCGCAATAAAGCGCATACTTATAACACTCAAACCATAAACGGGAAGAGAAATAGGACTAAAAGACAAAAAAGGTTCTTCTGCTAATATCTTGTTTTTGACAATTCATAACTTCCTTCAAAGTTTCTTAGTATGAATGCTAAGTGGCCTATCTTGTAGCCGCAAGCAGTAGTACAAAACACAATGAAAAGAATTCGGACAAAAAAGTTTGCGGGGAAAAAATTGAAAATTAAGATTTCTCAGATTTTTCAACATTTTTTTAGCGTGCCTCAAAGTCCGGAATATAGAATTTTCTGATTTTCTACGTGCTGAACAGCTGGATATTTTTGCAAAAACTGCTGATAAATGTCTTAGCCCTACGCTTACAGAATTGAGCAAAGCTTCGGCGACTGACTTCCTTAGAAGAAAATTATGAGTTATAAAATGACCGCAACAGCTTCCTATGTTTAGGCGCCGATATCTCAGTCTGGATAACTTCAAGGAATGCAGTTAAGTACACATAATGTAGACAATTTCTATTACTTACAAGAGCTAAATTTTCGAAGAAATCCCATTGATACGCGCTTGAATTGTGGCCGGGAAAGTGGATGAAATGAAATTCGGAATTCGGATGCGGTTATTTGAAGCTAAACTTTATAAGAGATGAGGATGAAAGCCAGTTTCAAGCACCGTTAGATAGAGCTTGAGAGCAGCTTCGCGAAGGTATACTACATTTATTGTAAAGAAGAAGTATTGATGGAAAAAAGTTGCCCTGAAAAAAAGGCTAGAAAAATAGGCCATTACTTTTGCATCAACGTAATAATTCAAAACCTCGAAAGCATGCATCACAGTAGCATGTTAACTTGAGTGTAGAAATTTCTTCTTGCTTTCCACTTTCGGATATAAAAGTAAGATAGCCGTAAGCTTGAGATGGATTTTGAACAAGATGGAATTAAAAGCAATACTATTTCTTGCATTGCTAGAAGCAGTGGTAAAAAAAGAGTTTTCTGATGTGATCGAACTTTTTCGAATCCACATTTCATACATGTAGCTGAGCTAATGTTATTCGGTTGTGAAATATACTTGGGTCCGAATCGAATTGAAATTCGATCATTCGATTAAAACATTCAAATATATTCGCATTCGAAATTCGATATTCGGAGTTTTTCCATTTTCGAATAACATTCGAAACTCGAATAATTGAGGAAACGAGGCTTCGAATAAACTTCGAAACTCGATTAATCAAAAAGCAGGGTTTCGGATACAATTCGAAAACTCGAATAATTAAAAAACGGATTCGAATAAAATATGAAAACTTGAATAATTAAAAAATGGGGTTTCGAATAGATTTTATTCGAATGTTTGTTCGAATTCGTATTCGAATGAATACTCAGATTATTCGACTTTGCTGCAGAACCAACCGCTGAGTATCAGCTCGCTTCGTCTGCGTTTTTTCCGCAAAATTCGGTAATGCATCTTTTTGAAATCATGATCATCTTTGAACTGTATGGAAAGTCGCATTCCTCCGACTGCCTGCTACAGTAAAAAATAGGTGTAGATTTTATTAGTTGCTTTTTTGATCAATGAGATAGTTCGCATGATCGGCACCAAATCAGCAAAAAGACAGCTATCAAATTCAAGCTCATGTTCCGAGTTTTATACTGGAAATGTGTTGACATGCCTTTTTCTTTCTTTGCATTGCTCATGCTTTTGTTATGCAAAGGTACACACTAGTAAGCACTCTTGCTTGTAAGATTCGTGCTACATAAGTGCCTCGATTTCTATTCTTTTTTTTTCTTACGATTTTTCGCGAATTGGTGTATTTTGAGTAAAGGACATCGCAGCTGTAGTGGAGTATTAGATGACTGCTGGATTTTGCAGTCGTATCACCTTGCAATAAAGTTTTGTTCAGTAGATAGCACATAATAGTTCTGTTACCACAGTGTATCCAAGATTTTCACGGAGGCTTACAGGCACTTTAACACTGGGAGCTATCAGCCTATAAACCATGGTAAAGGCTAAAGTCGGACGAAGAACGTGCACATAGAGAAATGCGAGCTTTGATTATGATAGGACCCGCACATACTTCACGCAACAGTCGTATGCGATTTGCCAGTTACAAGATGCTAGCAACGGGGCTGGGACTCGATACAGGGGGGGGGGGGTAAGGAAGGGTGCTGATTATTTATAAAACTTTATTTTATAGACTTTATCGATTTTTTTGGAAAATTTTGAACTACGCGACTGGGAGTCGGTACAAGGGTGAATGAGGGTGCTGATTAAAAATAAAATCTATTTATCGATTTCACCGATTTTTGGAAACCTTGAGCTAGGAGTTGGTATAGGGGATATAAGGGTGCTCATTATAAAATAGATCGGCTTTAGTCGAATATGTCAGCAAGTTTTAAGAGCCAGTTGTTCTAGTTATTCGATAAATCATTCGAATATGCATTCGAAATTCGACTCCCAATGTTCGAATATAATCGATATTCGTTCATTCGATATTTTTGATTTTCCGATTTTATTCGGGATTCATTCATTCGAGAATTTTTGAATCTTGAGAATTTATTCGATATTCATTCCTTCGATGAAAAATTTCGAATCTACTCAAGTATATTGTGAAACCTGTGGTGAACCGAAAATATTCCATTTGGAGATTTCTTTGAACAATTGCTCCAAATTCGTTCAAATTCTTCACATAAACTGCATTCGAGGAATTTGATGTAAGCCAAAATCATAATGCAAGTTTCACAAGTTTTTCGTCTTTTCTATGGCATCGCAGTGTGTGCTCAGAATTTTCCTCTTAAGATTCTTCTTCAATTTCGAAGTGCATGATCATAATATCGAGTATTAGAATCCGAAGCGAACGATTTTTAGCCTAGATTATCGACATGGGCCTTCACAGTATTTTTTAGTTTGCTTTTGATATCTAGAATTGCTATCTAAAGATGAAATCTTGTAAATCCAGAGTTTTGCTGAGATCAGGTTTAGTCGGATACAGTTTCGCATCACTAGTAAAAAAGGCTCAAAAACAACAGACAACTTTTTGGTTTTATTATTAGGTTACAATTGCTTAGCGAGTTCAGATCACATGAATCATATAGAGGTGTGCGAATTGTTTGTAATCAATCCTTAGTTGAAATATAACTTTGTTCTTGTTCGAGTCTTATTGAAACTTTACCTGAAAAAAGACAGCTCTAATCTATGCAAAGCTCAACCTTTTTGGTTTTTATAGTTGGTTTTACTGTCTAAACTATATGAACTCAATCACATCTCAGTGTATGCGCAATTTGATTGTGGATGAAGATTCGAACAATAGGGAAGATTTTTATAGATTGATAATAAAAAAAGAAGAAATAATACAAGTTGAAAAATAAAAGCAAGTAATCAATAAAGCAATGGCAACTTGGCGACACCCAAACTACAGAAAATATTCAACACAGTGGTACACATAATAAATCGAATACTCTATGCAGCAGGGCACCCCGGTCCCCTTTCGCCCTCTTTACATTTGCAGTCAGCGTCCTTCATGCGACGCTCGGTGATGTCTCGTCCTTCGGCAGTTTTTCCAATTACGCAGAGGCATCCTAAAAAAACTTCCAATCACATCTGATTCGTCAGTTCGGGCGTTGATACGTAGCCGAGCAAATTCAACTTCAATTTTTTGATTTATAATTATACCCGCCCGCAAAGTTCTCAACCACGGCAATCGACCCTTCTCGCCGATGAAATTTTTTTCTTTGCCGTTATAATCTCACCCTTTGGTCGAGGGAAGCATCCCTCCTTCAATCCCTTGAACTTGTTGTGCAACTCATCCAGCACAGCTGCGTAGTTTGCCTGGGCACGTTCTCTAAAACAATGTCAACACACTAATCATCCTTGTGATAACGGCTAATCGATATATCGATTACCTGACAGGATCGCGAACATTTTGGCTCGGTTGATCGCGAGCACGGTATTTCTGCGCTGGTTGGTTGATTGTAGCTGGTTGTCGTTGGACAGTCGCTCCTACGTCACGCTTGGAACGCTAAAATATCATTTTTGATTTTGCTTCTCAGCAAAAGACAAAGGAAAGACGAAAGAAAACAAAAATTGAGTGAACTTTATGAAGGCGAAAAAAGGTGCACACGGTAAAACCTACGATTCTGCACTGAGCTGCGTCGTTGTAGGCGGTGACAACCTCATTTCCTTGTGAGTCCTTCTCGTTGCATCTGCATCCACCAGCTGGCTTTGGGAAGCAGTTCTCCTAAAATTGGATAGGCAGGCTAATTTCGAAATCGAAATCGATAAATTTACCTTGAAATCTCCAAACTTCTCTTTGATTTCTTCATTCAACTCTTTCTTATTTTCGGCCGTTTGTCCTAAAGTATTGATTTAAATTTGAAAAGTGCCCAACATCAAGGCTCAACATAAACAACCAGACGCAACAAAATAAGCATAATTTAGATGCTCTTATTATAGCTTGAGACTCACTTTCGATGCTTTTCTTGCAGTCGGCATCGCTAGAAAATTCCCTAGTTTCTTCTCCAAATCCCATGTCAACATTGCACTTACAACCTCCGGACGGTTTTGGGAAGCAGTTATCCTATAATGAGCGACTCTTGGGATCACACTCTCATAGTCGGAGCTAACGACTAAAACATTTTAAAGCCCTGCCGCTTCTTTTCGCAGCATGGGGATTATTTGGGGAGGCGTCCGTTAACGATGGACTTATAGGGATTTACTCCGGCTCAGTACCTCAGCGAGCAGATTAAGGGCTGTTGCTGAAAGATGCATGGGAAAATAGGAGCAAAAGCTTGGGCTGTTGATCTGGTTCGATAGGCACTGAAATTGTGAACGAAGCAGCAAAGAACGTGCAATTTGCATGGTGTTACTTCAGCAGATTTTGGAAAGAATATCATCATTCAGTGCTCAATCATTTTTCATGTGAATGTTACCAAAATTTGCTTCGTATGCGACACACTGTTGAAGATGGCAAGAAAATGAGAAATAAAAATCAAACAAGATATATATTTGAATGTCATTTCTGCGCTAACTAACAAATACGATTTGTCGGCTCACAAACCTTGAATCCTCCGAACTTCTGTTGGATTTCCTTAGCAAGATTCTTTTTGTTCTCGGCTGTGACCACTGAAACACTTGATGTTTTCTGGCTGATCAAAAATATACAAAAATGTCGTATTAGCCGCTGTTGCATATTAGACACGCAAGAAATAAGCTAGACAATCACAGAGTTTCAAGAGCTGCTTACTTCTATCGCACGCACCATAATCCTAATATGGAACCTAGCACTATTTCCAAAGATGAATTGTAAGTAACTTACTCTCGATGGGCTTCTTGCATTCATCATCTGTAGCAAATTCTATCAAAGTATCTATCGCTCCATCTTTGATATCGCATTTGCATCCACCACCCGGCTTTGGGAAGCAGTTTTCCCGGAAGCCCACGGCCACAGCAGCGGATCGTCTCACCGCACACTGAAACTTTGAACTTACAGCATTTACGATTACAAAACGGTTTTGATTACATGAAGCAAAACTTGTTCAAGAACTTCTTCCTTACTAAGGGGCACTTTCGATTTTACTTTACTATAGACACGATCTATAAATTCAGAACTCAAAAAATTGCCAATACTCTATGAAAGACCGCACAATACTAATTCTGGAAACTGCGAAGAGGAAACTCGTATTGTACTCCCTTTTCTATTTTACTTGCATTATTGCAAAAAACGTAGTCCCCAAATCATGCAGCAAGCTACTGTTAGGAACAACCATGCGGAAAGTGTGAAAAAGTACAGTAAGTAAATATTTGCGAAACCCGCAAGGGCAAAAGAACTGGACCGATCGGAGGCTTACGTGGTCTATGAGATTAGGAAAAACTGCGAAAACCAAAATCGATGACAATGGTGGATTAGTGGGAATTTATGTTCTGAGTTCAATGTCATATGACTCACAAATGGGCAAATATTGGTTTAGTGGTAAAAGTTCGTTTCTCGCATGGGAAAGATAGTAAGAGCTGGAGGTTGCTGCTTACCACAAAAGTCATTAGTATAAAAAAATCAGATATCTCCTTCATAAAGCGCGTTCAAATGTTAGAGATAACCAGAGAGCAAAAATTCCTCATTCAAACTGCTTGAAAACTCATAAAAAGGAAGAGGCAACAACAAAATCAAAAAGAAAAAATAATAGCACAAGTTTCAACGCTTAGAAAACATGATTGTTCCTTGAATTCGGACTTTTTAGCCTGATAACAAGCTGTTATTATATCTTGACATTTCGTGTATTTAATAGTTGGAAATGTGTATGAACAGTTTTGGGTGGTTATACGGCATTTTGAATCGGGTGGTTATACGGCATTTTGAATCTTTACTTTCTCTTAAAACGCTAGAAAAAGCTGTGTTCTGTCTTTGGATATTAACAGTAGCCAAATTCGAAAATTGTAATTCTTCTAGAATACATTAGAAAGAGTCGTCTGTTACTGAGTTTGGGTCTCATATCTAAAAACGTAAATTTTCTAGGACGAATACAAGCGAAAAGGTAAGAAATGTTTAGGAGTATTAAGTAACGCAACTGGGTTTTCAATGAACTCAGCTAATATGAGCATAAAAAGCATGTTATTTTGATAACAAAGCTAACTTCGGCGAATCTGCTGCAAAATTTCGAGGAAGTTGAGCAAAATAGGAAAAGCATATTTCGGCGAAGATAAAGTGGTTTTATGGCCAGCTATGAGAGTTGTTCAAATGCAATGAATTTGTGGAATCGTGGAAGCAGCCACCAACGACAAGTTAGAAGATTGTGGATGTCTTAAGAGAAGGACAGGGAAAGATGAAAACTTTTGTGCTAGAGTCACACACGCCACTTGAATACGGACCATTCAGTTACCTAATTAAGTGTATTTGGTAATATTTACCTGAGCAGCGACAGCAAGAAGACAAAGAATGAGCACACGCGTCCACATCGTCTCGGTTCGACACAATGACTTCGCTCCGATCGCTTCCTCTTCTTAAACTCCCGCCCGTGGGACCCTGCGTTTCCGCACAGGCAACACTATTTTCTCAGTTCATGACTCGCTTGTTTATGTGATTGATGTTGAGCGCAAATTTTACACTGAAAAAGATCAATTTGAAGCCTATCGCCCTGACAGTTGCTGCTGGAAAAGCCAGGTGATATGGGTACAAGCAGATACGACGACGCGAGTTGACCTATGGATGACTCAGAATGACTCACACACTTGCTGATTTCTTCAGGACCTTGTGGTTCGGTCAAGTAGCACTAAAAGGACTAGTACTATGATTCATGCGAATTTTTTTGTAATTGATGGGATGAAAAGAAGCAGCAACAAGTCGCAGAGTAATTTCATGGCTGAGCGCACACTTGTTTTTTGATATTTCTCATAAGGAGAATCCTCACTCTTTCTCTAACAATCGAAAGATAGTATTATCATGCAGTGGCAGTCGCGGGATTTCCGTCCCGAGGGGGGGGGGGGAAGTGCTGCAGAAAATTTTTCCAAATGAAGGTGCATGGCGTTATTTACGCACTCCCAAAATTTGGGGTGCTTCACACAATTTTTTTCGGGTCCGTAACCCAGCCACGCCCCTAAAAAATTTTTACAATGCTAATTTGAAATTTTAGAAAAGTTCAAAAATTTCAATTGTTTACAAGAATAAGGGAGTCTTTTGCACATTTTTATAACCCAGTAAATTTAAAAATTTTGCGACCCATTCTCAAGGGAAGGCCATTCCCCCTCCCCCCCCCCTTGGTCCGCCACTGCTATCATGGTATTCAGATATTTAACAACTCAGTGATGGGATCAATTTAAGACTTTTCAATTGAACAAGAAGTGCAATTACTGAGTTTTATGTAAACCGGTTTACAGGGGAAAAAGTGCAGCCAATTTACATATCTCACATGGTTTCACTTTTTTTCATAAACGAGTAAAAAACTCTTTTCAGTCAAGATATCAGATTTAACCCAAACCGTAAATTCTTTTCTGAGAAAAATCTCAGGCTCTCGCTCCACAAGAATTGTTTTTCAGCTCTAGCTATCGAAAATTTCACACAAATTCCGTTTGTCATCCTGCTTAGAGCTGATGGCATTTCCTTGTGTGGGATGATTCATAAAGCAATAATGACAAGCATTCGAGTATTCAAGATTTGTCATTAATTATAAAATGCGCATATTCCTTATAAGCGCAAAATACGAAGAATTTAAAATGATAATATTGATAGCGAGGTTCAGCCAATTAGCTGGATAGTCGGATATGGTCGGTTTACCATGAAATGATTTCTTGGGCTATGCTTTCCATGATTTTTTGGAAGCAAAAAACCTCGTATCCTTTACTTTAAGCACCTATCTACTTGCAGCTTGTGAAAAATTACAGAGGATGTCAACTGAAAGATTTAACGATGAGTCAACAACGGTCAGACTTCAAAAAGGTGTTGATCAGCGATTTACCGCCAAAAATTTCGAGCAGATCATCACAAAGATTGCATCACATTCATAACTCTGAAGTACCTGACTCAGCATATATGGCACACTCTCACTGAATTCAACAGTTGATTCAGCAAGAAGGAAGAGGAGACCAAATGCACTTGCCGTCTTGCAACTAACAACAGGGGCGATAAATATTGAGTTTTTGTGAGAAAAGTATTTCTATTGCGCTGGCTTAATGAAGAGAAAATGTTCCTCATAAAGGACAAATGAAATCCTTTTTAGATTTTCAAACCTTCGGTTTGTAGATCTTTGCTCATTCCGTAATAGTATCTTCAAAAGCAGAGCAATGCCTTTTATTCTCGCTCTGGGAAAAGCGGTTTTCCAGGCATAATGTTTGCTGAGAAAGGGCACAAATACACTGCTTCAAACATTTTGGAAGCTGAGAGCTTTTGAAGAAGTTGTTGGTTGAGTGAGGTATCTTCGTGCCATGCTACATTTTAAGTGCAAACCGTGGTATTCCCCATGTGCGGTAATGGTCTTACGAAGACTACTGATGGATCAGCGAAGAAGCTGTTTCTGTTCTCCAACTGCAAAAAATGACAAAAAAAATTGATGGCAATTTCTAATTTCTAAGAGAAGCTAAAAAATTGCTTTTTAATTGTTTTCATTGTTCCTCTAAAAGAAAAAAGTGTTTTTATAAAAAAAAATTAACTTGATAACACCGCTATTTGACCCTGCATGCTTTATTGTACTAAATCTTGGAGTAAGTTACGCCTTCTCAAAGCAAAGATTTCCAAAAAAGTTCTAGACAATTTTCAGACTTTTAAACTTTCATCGATGCTTCAATGTTATAAAAATGCTCATATTATCAAAATTATAAAATTTGTCTTATTTTCGTAAGAAATACTTTGCAGAGATTTGCGATTTATTATAACAAAATTCTTGGAATTAGGTGTGAATTAAATTCTAATTAATTTCTAATTACAATCTAATACAAAGAGTCACTAATAGCCCTAGAATGACCACTAGTTCTGCTAAATTTCTAGCTGTTTGTAACTGAAAATAGCTTTACGCTCAAACTTCTCAGCAATGTAGGAATAGGTAACGCGCATTTCTTTACGTTGTTTGTTCAAAATAATTATGGGAGTAATTTTGTAGACTTTCCACGTTGATTCTTCTATTATGTCTCGTTGAATGAGACTCGCATAAATCCGAAACACTATTATCGCCAAGGCGATTTTCGGTTTCGAGGCAACGCATCTTAGCGACAATCTCCAATGCAGGATTTTTCTCTTATTCTACATCTTTGTAGGTCCAGGAGTAAGGCGCTAAGTCTTTGTATGCTCTTTCCACTATTATTTTTGAATCGGTTTTCCCTTATCTGATGTTTTCAAGGCATTCCTAGGAGAATGACATCGGTAAATTACAAGGATAATGGGGCTTATGAAAACCCACCAAATGTAGTGGATGCTACAGGAAATGACTCTCATACCCTTTCTACCGAGGCACGTGAACTTTTAAATTGCTTGAACAGGTACAGTAAAAGTCGTTTTAGGAATTCGACGACAAGATCAAGGCTCCCACGCGGAGTTCTCGTTTGCCCATCAAAGAAGCAATCATGGCTTCTCATGGCAAGGAAACAGACTAATCAACCACATTTGGTTTGAAACTCTTTATAATTCAGAAAGAAAGGACGATGGAACACGCAAAGTGACAATGCGATCGATCTTTAAGATGATCAACTATGCCGTATTTTTGGCTCTCATTAGCTATGGTGAGTTGAAAATCACTCTAACAAATTGTTGGCACTCCATGGGAATAATTAGCAACCATTTTGAGGTATTCATAATACCGAGAAGGTAGCATGGAGGTCTTTCTTATAGAGAAGTAGAAATAAGGGGTTCAGAAAAACATTGTTGAATTGCTCCATCATCCCCCCCCTTCCTTCGATTATAAAAATTTGAAAGCGCTGGAAGGTGCTGAACCGAGCCACGCTAAAAAAATTTTGCGAATACAAAGATCTTCCTCTGAACTTTTTCCATTTTCTTTCATATTTTGTTCAATCACTAATAGTAAAATAACAACATGACGACTCACCCAACTTTTTTCTTTCTCTCCAACATTTTGACTTTTGATGGCTTGACCCTAATTCGACACTCTTTAGTGGCATTGGCCGAATGTTCGGTACAAAAATACTTCTTCACGAAAATCATCGGCGATCTTTTCGTTAACTCAAAAAACAATGTGAACGACAAATCATTCGTGGAGATAAGCAGCCTGGACGATATCTGGGGTGTAAGCTATTATAACTTCTGCCTGTATAGTTTCTATTCAGGAGACTTAGTTTCTTTGCAGTTCCTGGATGACGAATTCTTGATCAGCCTTTACGACACCGATGCGAACACAACTGATCGTGAAGCCATGGTGTACTATAACAACAAGTTACTTGGCAGACCTAGAATTCGCATGCTCAAGGCGAGCAAAATGACAAAAGTAAAAAGTTTCGCACTTATAATTATTTGCAGGTCAAAAACACCTCCTGCAGCGTGGCGAAAAGTTTTTCTCGTGAGATAATCGAATGCTTTAGCAACTACCACCCATCGGTTGAAAACAAAGAACCACTTGATCCAAATAATCCAGAAAAATCAGAATCGTACGTTGATTCCTCAAAGGGTAAAGATACAGGGGGTCCCAAAAAATGTACCCCTGTTTGACTGTAAATAACTCTCCTGTAATGAAGCCTTTCGGAAAGCTTTAGGTATCATTTTGTAGAGCGAGGTTCAACTTAGATTTACAGTATGGAGCGAATCACCGATCGCTCTTCATTACTGTAGGATTACGGTACGAACTTACAGCATATGAAACCATTGTGAAATATACCACCTAACAAAATTTTTTCAAAAAATCTGAAAAATCGTGTACTAGGGTTTTGCGCATGCTGATTCCACCTAACAACTTTTAACATGTGCTTTCGGCTTTTTTGACGGTGTAATTACATTACAAATGCTGAAAATTGCGTTATTACGATTTAGAAAGGATAACTTAGGAAGGAAGCACCATAGTATTAGGTTGTTGCAAAAATAATGTCCGTTTTTATAGGCCTATAATCCAAACAACTTTTTTCCATCAAACTTTCTTGTATGACATAGAATCTGCATATCATTAAGAAGCTCTCACCATGTACTTTCTAACGGTGGTGGAACTAAGTTGCTATCCTTATCTGTGAGAATTTCACCAGCATTTTGCACATCCGCACTCAAAATCGAAATTTTATAGCTTTCACTTTCTTAACCACATTTCAGGAGCAAATAAACAAATTCTTCTGAAAATATAGCACTTGTATTAGATGAAGATTGTTTACCTACTGCATGCTTACGTAGATTTTTGGAGATATCTGGACTGAGAAATTGACGCCTCGAAATAGATACTCGCTGCTGACATTCTGTGGGTCAGAAATTTCTCATAATTAAGGCAATTAACAAAGCTTCGCCTACTTCTGTAAGCTTGAGATAAGCACACCTTAACTACAATATTTAAAAGAAACTTAGCTATTCAGTGCGCGAAGAATGCCAAATTTTCATAATTTGGCACTTACAAGCCTACAACAAGTATACACAAAAAAGTGAATATTTTTGAATTTTTATCTTTTCTTTTCGCAGAACTCCTTCTTCGGAGTTTTTTCTATACAAGCGTGTACTATAGGCTTGCGTCTACAATATAAGCTGATTGCCACCTAAACGAACAAAACTTAAAAGGAGTTGTAAGTTCTTAAAGACAAGGTTTTCAAAAGAAAAAGTTTCAGTTTTTTGACGCATGATTTTCTTCCCGTTTGCGATATTAGTACGGGCGGGTGAGCGTTAAATCACGAAAGTTTTGCTGTTTCTGAGGATCTTGACTGTATTTAAAAATATGAAGACTGAACGAAGTTATAGCATTCCAAAGTGAAAGTTTGTAAAACGGACATTATTTTTGCAACAACCTAATAAAATGGGAATTACAAATTTGAAATCAGCGGCTCCCATTACCGTAATATAAGAGTTTTTGGCTTGTTTGGTTTTGTTCCGAGGTAGAATATAGCCTCCAATGGTCTAAAATTCTTGTCAAAGTTTGCACCGTAATCCTACAGTAGTGAAGAGCGATGATGATTCATACTGTAAATCTAGGTTCAACCGCGCTCTACAAAATGATACCTAAACTTCTCGAAAGACTTCATTACAAGAGAGTCATTTACAATCAAACAGTAGGTACATTTTTGGTACACTTTGTATGGTATGAGAGACAGACCCAATTTAACATTTGTTATTCTGAAATTTTCCAGAAAAGAGATTGTCGCGCAGATACAGATATATTCTTCCAGATACATTTGGCAAGATCAGGAAAAACTTAAGACGAAATCTGTTCGCGGTTCAATTGCCCAGTATCCTGGCGGAGGCTACATTTTACGTCTTCCACTGGATAATAAAACAGAGGCACACAAGCTACTCAGTGGCATCAAGGTTCATTCACATATAAAATTCAATGAAAGGGTCAAGGACGATTGTGAAAAGCAAATTTTCTTTCCAGGCGGTTTCAACAAAAATTAGTGTTCAGCGTATGAGGTTCCATCAACTATTCACATCTTTCGATCTAATTGGTAATACATTTCTAAAGAATAGCGGAACTTGACGAAAAATTTAAAAATCTCGAAAGAAGATGGGACCATTCGCAAGCGTGCTTGATCTGCTTGACAGTACATACACAGGTGTTATCACACGCAGCGACTGGACGCGACTGCGTCCAAACAAGATAGCGCATGCATGTGGGAGAAAGCAGGCGGTAAGAGCGAGGAGAGAGCGCTCGATCAAAGGGGTGCCGACAGCGTGCGCAGTCTCTGCGTGCGATGACTCGCCCCATAGGATAATGAAAAAGCATCGTTTCAGAGCAAGCGTTGGATAGATCGAGCTACCAGAGCAGTCATAATAGATTTCGCAATGTTCAATGCAAACGTCAACCTCTTCTGCATTGCACGGTTAAGTTTTTCAATATTTCCAAAAGAGAAATTGTCCTTTAATAGGGAGGGAAAGCGGAAGTAAAACCGAGTTTGCAATACATTTGAAGAATTACACAATCATTTCAGGCATTGGGATCGTCCGCGCACTACTTGCTTAAGATACATTTTCAGATCATGTCACAGACGCAAAAATATGCCTGATAGGAGTAAAATTTCATTCAGTATGAATTCAAAACTGAGGTGTATTCCCTTTGGAGTATTTTTTCTGACTTTTACAGTCGAGTAGATTTCCTGCTTAATATAGTGTCCCTGCAGACGCGACAACGCTGGGGCGTCAATAATTGCCTTGCGAGTTTCCGAGTGAAGGTTTTCTAGTGTTTTCTTATCTTATTCTTATTCTTTTTAGGTAAATCGTCACTGATAAAGGAGAAGAAAGTAGGTTAGAGGATAAAGTCTGTTTTCTGAGTAGCTATTTCATCGCTTAATCTCAGATATCCATGTAGAAGCTGATCGCATCAGTTTCATGCGTATTCTTGTCACTTCATGTCTCTTTCTTCTTGTGAAGTACTTCCTTGAACGCTAGTAGGTTTTTACGATTGACTTATTGTCTTTATCACACGAAGTTCTCGCTCTAATGATATTACTTATGGGTGAAAGCCGAAGTTGTTACAAGACAAGCCAACTAGCGTTCAAAGAAACGTCTCACAAGGAGAAAGAGGGTTAAATTGACAAAAGAAAAGGAAATAACACAAAATATAGGCGTAAAACTGACATGAACTGCTTCTACGTAGATATCTGTGAATATGCGATGATGAAACTTCTCAGAAAACGGAAACTACTACCTAACTTACCCTTTTCCTCTTTATCAGCAACGAAATACCTGGAAAGCAAAGGATAGGCAAAGAAAACAGTGGAAAACATTTGTTCGGAAACTCGCAAGGCAATTATTGACGCCCCAGCGTTGTCGCGTCTGCAGGGACACTATATTAAGCAGGAAATCTACTCGACTGTACATATACTAGAGATCTCCTTTGCATCAAAGAGTTGCAGTTAAGAGTGTCCCGCACCTGGCGTCCTCTCTGAGGCTCCCATGCACACATAAATTTTTGAAGAATTGAACATCTTATTAGCTAACTCCGGGCAATATTTCCATATGTGGTAGCCTCGTGTATGAAAAGACCCAGAACTGGATAAATTTCTTTTGCTTGAATTTGTAGAGTAGTGATTGTGGTGTAGCCAGAGCCGAGGGCCGAGCTAATAAGGCTTCGTACTATTAGGTTGTCAAGAAAATAGGAGCTTCTAATGCTAACCCTGATCAGCAATAGTTCTGTTTAGAATACTTCTCGATAAAGCAAAACAAGCTCTATACGACGCTATCAGACATCCACCTCAGCAGCCAGAAAGTAGGCAAATCTGGTTGTGAGTACCCTAAAAGTCTGACCTCACAAGGGATGGATACTTGGTCGAAGTGGAGTTTTTATACGAAATGTATCACGTCTTATAGAGCATGAAATGCTGAGTTCAAATCTACTTTTGGTTCTGCAAAGCGCTTCTGGCAGGGGAGTTGTGGAAATTTTTGGTGCAAAAATCTGAAAGCGCCGCTACAAAAATCATTCAGAACCGTAGTTGGTGAGCTCAATGGGGCCATGATTACTAGCAGGACGTTTTACGATATGAAGACCTTCAATTGAATAAACCCATGTTAGTCATTACTCCTTTTAAGCGTCGGAAAGACATCAACACCTATTCTTATCTTAGCCAAAACTTTAAATTCTTACCTTAAAGAATTCCTAGAACTCCCCTGAGAGCGGAATTGAAATCAGCGTTCCGTGCTCTATAAGATAGTGTGAATCCCATATGGAATCGTTACTTCGACCAAGTATCCTTCCTTTGTCAGCTGCAAAAAAATTCTGCTAACCTCTCAATCCGTCTTACACGAATAGAGTGGCGATCTCAGATTTCGGACCGGGGGGGGGGGGGGGGGGGCACAAAAATTCTTTTCTGAGTATAGTATGTGTTAGTAGGTGAGTAAGCGACCGAGGTTAGTAGATGTTTATTAGTGGCGGCCTTTTTGGCCTTTTCGGCCTTGGCCTCTTTTCTGAGTGAAAATGCTGGCGTTAGCATTCATCCCAAAAAAATCCCGAAAAAATTTTTTACAAGGCTAATTTGAATTTTCAAAAAATTTTAAAAATTATTTCAATCATATACAAGTATTAGGTTGATGCATAATTCCTGCACCAAAATAGGTACAGACCGCAATAATCCGGAATAATCCTATATTCCAAGTAGGATATGATATATCATTAGATAGAGCAAACCTAGCTCTACAAAACAGTGCTCAAAAACCATGCGTCCGAAAACCTTAAGACCAATCAAAACAAAACTGTAACTTCGTTCAAAAAGCTCCTAAAAAATTTCTTTCTTGCTCACGCATAGATATTCCACGCAAGACTATGAGGTCTATCTATGAGGTTGCTGTATTTTTTTCTCATCTAAATGATAAGAAAACAGTGTTTTTCATGTTTTTGCCAAATTAGTGCTGAGATGTTCTAACACTAACAATTGTATAGTACACGCCGTTAACAGTGAAACTTTACATTTTCAGCCTTCTAGAACAGCTAGTTCACGAGAAATGACGGATCTAGCTCTCTTCATCCGAACTATTCTTGCCTAGTAGCCAAAAATTCGATTTTCTCGTAGACCACTGCTGTAAGCTGAAAATTCACATTTACGCTTCCAAGGTCCCATAGTGTACAACTGTCAGCGCTAGAACATCTCAGCATTGTTTTGGAAAAAACATGAAAAGCTTCGTTTTCTCAGGTTCTAGCTGCGAGAAAAATACAGCAACTGCATAGAGGAATATCTTATACGAAATGACAATGCATGAGCAAGTTAGAATTTTAAAGTGTTTTTCCGAACTGACTTTCATTTTTTTCTTGGTTTTTGGGGCGCTTGGATGCTTTTCGTTTTTGGCTTCAATCTTCGCTTGGATCAAAGCTGCTGCAAAACTTTAGTCACCATCTTTTAGAGCTAGGTTTGCCCTAACTAATGATATATCGAATCTTACTTGGGATATAGGAATATTTCGAGCTATTGCGGTCTGTATCTATTTTGGTGCAGAAATTATGCATCAACCTAATACATATTAGGTTGAATCGAAAGTTCTGTCGCACCATTTTCAAAAAATCGTAGCTTCCTTCTATTAGAATTGACTTGCATGACAAAAATACCTCTAGAAAGAGGAGATCATGTGTTTTCTAATGACACCTTGCCTGCTCTCATCTATGCTCTGATCGCAGAGATAAAAATGGGGACAGGAAATCACTTCAGTTTCGGAATTTTTAGGCAAGCCCGTTAAAAATTCCAAAATTACGCCATGAAATCCAAAACAGCCAGTATCCTAGATTATTTGATCCGCTCTTTCTAAGGGGCAAGATTCGCGCTGTTCGAGCTGTTCTTTGCAAAGTTATGATTTTTTACCATTTTTGGGAAAAATGGTAAAAATCAATTTTCTTAAGAGAAAGATTTTAATGGCATTTTTTCTCGAAAATCATAACTTTTTCTTAGAAGAGCTGATCAACGCGAATTTTACTCAGCTAGAAAAAGGGAATCAAAAAACCTAGGTTACTGACTCTTTTCGATTTTACTGCACAGATATGGAATTTTTAACGAGCTTATCTCAGAATTCTGCAACTGAACTACTTTCCTTTTCGCAATTTTATCTGTGCTTAGAGCATGGGAGAGTGAAAGCAAGGCGTAGTTAGAAAGTGCATGAGTTACTCTCTCTAGTGGTCCCCCCCCCTCCCCACCCTTATGCAGCATTGGTAGACTCGTAGAAGTAATGTTACGTCCACTTGACGCAATTCGTGATTAGAATTTAAGAAAACTGGATAATTAAAAAACGTCAAACTTCGCCTCTAGCAAATCTGGGTTTCTCACACTTATGCACTCGTATCTTACAAACTTTCTCAAGTATAAGTGTAAGTCCACACACTTGTAGCAGCACTATGTAGGTAACAGTTTTAGCTTCAAAAAAGCAAAACATCAAATTTTTGACAATTTAATTAGTATATTTTTTTAGATATAGTCTTTGCAATAGCATAGTTATTCTTCTCCACATAAAAAAGAAGATGAACGACTGTTCTACAGAAAATTACATGAATCTCTACTCGCGTTAAAGGCGAAAATGAACTAGTGATTCAATGTTGAAACATTAGACCATTAAAATTTTATGTCATACAAGAAATTCACAGTCGATTTATTTAGACGTGTAGTTCGTCTCAAATTTCTCCCTGTCCCACCAGCTAATTTGCAGCCCCGCAACCTCGCGCCGCCTTCGCGCGCGTATAGCTTGCACATTCAAAACTCACCTCATCGACCGGGGCCGCCGCACTACGTCCTTGCTGTGCGGATGCGTGGCTGCTACGGAAAAGGGAGCACTTGGCTGACATCGATTGTATCTATAACGCCACATGGTCATCGGTTTATTATTAGATGAATCCATACCAACTCAAGCATTGTATGCTCTAATTACAATTAGTTGCTTACTTAACTATACTTTCTTCTCACCTATCAAGTCTTGATTTAGCTTTGGGTATAAATTGGGTGTAAGTTTACAGCTAATAAATTTGCATTTGGTAGACAATAGCTCGGGCTTTTTCAACGATTGGACGTACATCATTAAATATCAAGCGTGAGAAATTTTGCACTTATATCTTGTGACGATGTCCCACAGTTGAACTTAGCAAACAGATAATTCGTTCCCATACATTAATATGCATTTCATTCCAAAACGCATACCGGCTACTACATTCCACAAACTTTTTGAGTAACGACTCAGATCCAGATATCTTTTAGCTTGCTTTTGGAACTACCTGCTTCTGGCGGCGTTCTGCCTTCGTATCGTTTCAATACCTATGACCTGATGCGTTATACTGGCTCACTCGGAACCGTTACGATCGTACTGGAAGGGATTTTGTGTGGATTCATAGTGAGCGGCAGCAACCCATAAGCAAATCCAAACATTGAAAAAGTTAAGGTATCCTACATAATCGAGGAGTTCTTCGAACTTTTCCAAATTCGTCTACGCTACTTCCTTAGCTTCTGGAATATTGTCGATATCGTTCTTCTAACGGTAAGCTACTAACCCTGATGATGATCAAAGATCTTACCTGCAAATGTTTGCAGCTTTGTTGCATTGACATCTACCTGGGTTACAACAGCAATACAATAGCCGCTGCTCGCATTAATGAAGTTCTTGACAGTAGGAGTTTCGAATAAATATAAGAAATTGCACAAGAAAAGTATCGTTTTGCAGAATGAAAATTCATTATAGATGGACTGTCTGATGCTGCGTTTGACGATGTTGTGCAATCTCAGGAGTTGTACAGCGATATCGCTGCAGTCATTCTGTTCCTTGCATGGATCAAAGTCAGTCAATTTTTCCTTGCACATTGGTATTGAAATTTGAAAAAGATTAATGTGGCTGTAAATGGAGAATAATAGATCACAGAAACCGATTTGTGAGGTAATGGTATTGCAGTCATACACCTGGCAAGATAAAAAAATCTTTGTAGATGCATGCAAACTCCTAATTTTCATTCAGTTTCTGAATGCTAGGGGGAGACTTACATAGTGGTCATAGGAAGTGTAGGGAAGTCTTGGTTCTTCCCAAATGATATTGCAGAACGTATGAAGGTTAACATCCTTGTAGGCGATGTCCACCCAAACTGAATATCCTAAGATTTTCTTGTTGTATAATAGCGGGCCCCTGACTAGTAACCGTCCAGCTCCCGCTGCAAAAAATGAACTCCGAAGTGAGGAAATTGCTCCAGAAGGTAGAAGTGATCAAGATAGCTCCACCCATCAACGTGGGTAGTTCGAAGACAGTGAGCTCGTAAGCGGGCTTCAGGCTAAAAGATATTGAAAATAATAATCAAAACAACGGTGGATTTATGATAGCTTCACATACGCTGGAGTCCGATTCCGGATTTTTTATCTTCAGCATACCTTCGATACATAGAGCCATGTACTCTGGTAACCCTCACTTTGAGCGTCACGATAGAACACAACTTTCACCTGGAAAGAAGTACAGATGTCATCCGGAGCGGAGCCCCGGATATTATGATATAATTAATGGCATAACCATATAGGGATGATTGTGAACGAGGCAAATTAGTAGTGACATCCAAAAGAAGCTTAACCGAAGGATTGCGTTTTTATGGCCTTTTTTGCTGAAAAAAGGTTTTTATTCGAAAATTCTACTAGAAACTAGGACAGAACTATTCAATTAACCTTGCTGTAGACTGCGATTCAGCGTTGGAAGTTCATGAAAGCCGCTGGAGTTCGATAAAAACGAGAAGCTGCGCTCAAATTTTGCCCAGAGAGTCGCCACATAAATGCTGGTCTATCTTGCTATGGAGTGATTCTCAAGACCCGCGACGTTGTCAGTGCTCCTGACCGTCTCATGAGGATCACAACCATATATAGTGTTATAGGGTTTCGTTATGACCCCGCGGAGATCAATGATTAGAGCCAAATGCCCCGCCGGCTCTGCTCTGTCTCCGCTGCTCGTCTGCGTCCCCGCGCGTTGCGCGCTACCTCGCTACCTCAAATGCGGGGCACGGGGCATTTGGCTCTGGTACCCTTTTCTTCGTTGTTCGGAGCCCAAGTTCGACAATCTATATATCATATTGAAGCTCTTGATCTCTATTTTCACACTGACAACGTCGCAAGACTCCCTTTCTTAATTTAGACGAGAAATCTGGAAAAAACGACGTTTTCGAAAACCTCTTGTTTTTTCTTCAGATCAACTCTTTTCACCCGGATTTTTCGTGCATTCGATAGGTCTTGTTTCTGTTTATGGTGTAGACAACGTCGCCGAGCTTACTTTTTTGCTTATGCCGGTTTTTTTGTGAAAATTACACAAAAAGCGCGCTTTCCTTTACCTTGTTCTCTTTCAGTGGTTTTGCAACGAATTTTCTCCAGCTTGGACGATACTTGCTCAGAATGATGAGCGGAAGAATCCAGACAACGTCGCAGGATACGAAACGACTATGCGGGGGGGTGAAATCTTAAAGGACGCATCAAAAATCAGATTGGCGTCGATGTGCAATATATCTTTTCAGACGTGTTTAACATGTTCAATTCAGTTGTTGACAAGATTTCCTTCTTTAGGTCTCCAACCTACCTTCACAGCTAAGCAGCGCTTATTTCAATTGGAAAAAAACTTTGTTCTTGTTGCCACCCAATTTAAGGGCAATCCTGAAGAGGAGAAAACCTCCAAGTTAACAAATCAATGATGTGCTAACCTCTGCTTTATATAATTTTTTCAAGTTTGCTGGTTTAATTCATATCTCTAAATTTTCATGTATTTTCCTAAAACAACCTTCACTTTTTATAGAGGGCAGGAACTCAAACAACTATCACTTTCTAGCCTCTGTCTCTTGACTATCGAAGGTATGATCTTCAGACCATCCACGTGGAAGGGCGTAGCCACCTCGGCCGCTTCCATGTTTTGAAGCTTTTTTCTCGCTTTGGTAATCACTCTTTGCAGCGGAACTCGAGCGTTGACTAACAAGGGAACGATACTCAATGTCCGTGGCCTTTTGGGACGAGATGTATACCATTACACTCGTCTTCGAACGCTGATTCCGAATCTGACTTCCGTTTCTGCTAATCGTTTCTCTGGAAGAAGTTATGGAGGAATTTCGAGCCAGGTTTGGCCGCCCAAGGGTATGGTCCGGAACGGCCTCTAACGCCGCCAGGTTCTTGTCTAGTGGTTGGTGCGATAGCCTCATAAGTTGATGCAGGTGTAGGTTCAAACCATTTTGTGTTTTTACTTTTGCATTGCTTCAATTAAGTTCGTTCGAGAAAATGCGAATTAATGGATACCTTTTAGCGCAAATAGTGGTCATTTTTTCCAATTTTCAAATCTTTTGAAGATTAAGGTCGTTCAATTAACTCGAGGATGCGAAAGAAGGTTAATTGAGACAATGCAAAACTGAAAAACACAAAGGGATTCGAACCTACACCTACATCAATTCATGAGGCTATCGCACTAACCACTAGACCACAACGCACGCGTAGCGTTGGCCCTCCGACCGTATTTCAATGGGCAGCCAAACTCCGCACAATCCATTGTAACATTTTTCAAGCGATTAGCAGAAACGGAAGTCAGATTCGGCATCAGCGTTCCAAGACGAGTGTAATGGTATACAACTCATCTCAAAAGGCCACGGACACCGAGTACCGTTTCCTTGTAAGTCAGGGTTCCGCTGTTATACGTCAAGCTCGATCTGGGTGGACCGTGCCTATTCGTTCCCCGTTATCTGTCAAGGAGTACTGCTACGATCGAGATATCATGCTCCATTCCCGCTCCTGGACCAATGCATATCTGAAATGGAAGTAGAACTACAGAATTAATTATAGGTTTTTAATTACATCGGCGTAAACAAAACCATGAACCAACTGGCAGCGACTCTCTCTCGCTCTACTAAGGACATCGGCGGCTTTGCAGTGATGTTTGCTGTATTCTTCTTTGCTTACGCTCAGTTTGGCTACCTTGTCTTTGGGACCCAGGTCATCTTTTTAGTTCTTGAATCCTAGCTTTTGGAAATCAGAATGAGTTATTTATCAGTAATTTTTTGTGGTAGATTTCTGACTACTCCACGTTTTACGACGCCGTTTTCGCCCTTCTCCGCACCATCCTGGGAGACTTCAACTTTAGCGCTTTGGAGAGAACAAATCGCGTACTTGGGCCCATATTCTTTATTACCTATGTGTTCTTCGTATTTTTCGTTTTGCTGGTATGCTCAAGCAGTAAAAATTGTTTCCCAACAAATTTTTTAGAATATGTTCCTTGCCATCATCAACGACTCCTACGTGGAGGTAAAAGCTGAACTTGCAAGACAACAAGCCGGTGAAGGAATTTTTGACTGGATAAGGAAGGTAGGCCTTTCTACATCCAGCGAAAAGTTCAGATCGCGTCAAAATACTTATAAAAATATCAATTTCTTTTAGAAACTCACGGCTCGCAAGGTTCCCGAAAGAAAAGTGGCTACTTACAATGACTACAAAATCGACTTAATGATGTGAGCTTTTGACGTCAAGAAGCCCTCGAAAACATTCCTTTCTCCAGGGCTGGTTATCAAGAGAAAGATATCAACGCAGCTTTTGAGAAACTCAACATCAGCTTCACCGACAAAGTCGATGATAATGTAAAAATCCAAATAAAAAATTCATATGAGCAAATAATGCACGCTTTCGATGAATTTTTAGGCCCTGATCGAGGTTGGGAATGAGATTTCTGAGCAGACTAAGCGAAAGAAAATCATCGATGAGGATTATCGCTCAACTGCAGTGTAACTCACCAACTCACTTGGAATCTTGAGTAAAACTTGGAGGATTTCAGGCTGACTCGTCGCATCGACATGATGGATAATGCGATTCTCAATGTTGTCGACAAATTGTCGCAAACTCTCGATCAACTGAATCGCATCGAAAATGGCAGAGTGAAGGCGAAGGAGCACGAAAACACATTGCGTGCAGAGGTTAGTTTTACCCTTCTGCACTTTCAATAAATAGACCACCCGAAGTCTCCAGGCGTTGGTGATGGATGCTTATCATCGTGGCGATCTTGGTGGAGATGATGACAGTGACATTGAAAGGGAGGAGCATCGTCAAGAACATTAAAGCTATCTCTTGGAGCACTGCATATCAAGCTGGGAACATAGTCTTTAGCTTTTTAGGTTTTAGGAGCAGTCGAGTAGATGTTAACGACAAAAATATGTAACCTTTGATTCAACTGGCTTGGCTTCGCGAAGGCGGGGCTTTGTGACCTAATGAAGGCCGCGCGCGCCCACAACGCACCTGCGTCTCTCTCGCGCGAGTATTCTCTGATCACTAGCTAGCCCTAATTAGGTCACGAACCCCCCCCCCCCTGCCGAAGCCGAGGTAGTTGAACAAGTGCTACGACACCAAACTGTGATCTAAGCATTCTTTTTATTCGCGCATCTACAGTTAGGTAGGTTTATTTGCTAATTCGTGGAATTGCACACTCTCTAGGATGTCGACGGGCTTCAGTAGCTTGACATTTCGTCAAAAAACAGGAAGGCAAAAGAAAAACAATAATTAGGCTTGACAAAATCCGTTATGTGCAATTGCACACATAAGCAAATGAATCTACTCGACCTTACAAACATTTCCTAAGTAGACCAGCTTGTCTTGTTCTTAAGAACTTAGTGTTAGACAACTCAAATATAGCCGATCAGTGATGTACAGTCGGATTTCTTGTCGGTCAAAACTACTTGATTGTAATCAAGTCCAAAGCATAGAACTTAGCATTAGCTCGCTCCAAAAGTTTGTTCCGTTTTTCAGGTGTGTCTTTATATCACTGAGGCTCCCGCCAGAGTGCCGAAGTTATGCCAGCGCTACGCCAGCATTTCGATCGATACACGTGTATTTCGTTGGGGACGTCAGCTAGCCCCGCCCCAACAAAATACACGTGTATCGATCGAAATGCTGGCATAGCGCTGGCATAACTCCGGCACTCTGGCGGGAGCCTGAGATTAATGATAGGCAGAGCTCTACATAACATGCCATGCTGAAGTTCTTTGAAAACATTTTTTTTGCTGCCAGAATCTCCAAATCTGTGCTCATTCCAAATCATTATACGTTGAGAGGCAAGAAACTAGAATTTCATTCAACACAGCTTTTTTCCTGTCTGCCAGGCGTTCTTTTTCCTGATCTATAAAAGATTCGAGGATGAAATCACCACAATTTTTCCAAAGGCCCCAAGCTGTACTCCGACTATTCGAAAAACATTCGATTTTTCGAATTTGGAAGATGCGGTAAACGCTTATTTGCTTTGCTATTATTGCTATTTGCTATTATTTGCTTGTGTGTTCAATTCAGACGGATTTTTGAAAGCTTTGAATTCCAAAGTTGATATGTTTGAAGCGTTTGTGTACTTTAAGACTTTACAAAAGTGAAGGCTATAGAAATTGGAAAATACTGAGCCGAACACTTGTACATGTCCAACATTCATTAAATTGCACTTTGCTTACTCTAACCGATTGTGTTATTCGGCTCTTCATGCTCTTCAAAAAATGTATGGTGAAAATTATGGAATTATAGCTGAAATCAGGGTGGGTAAGAACCGTGGGTTGGAGATTCTGACGGTTAGTTGGGCAACCGTTAAAAAATTTAGAACCGCAACATTTTTGCTAAAATGACAAAGGAACTTTGCATGAAACACTTTGGAGCTTCAGCCTACCATTAGTCTGAGTATTTCAACATATTTCCGAGAAACGACACGATTTTTCAGACCGATTTATGTTTGTCATGAATCTTGAGTCGGGGTCGAAGTCAACGCCACAGAACGACTTTGACTCTGTAAAATACATGGAAAATATTTCAAGGACACCCTGTATGATGCCGACAACGCTTTCTTCTCACCAGGGAAGACACTTTGGTCGAAGTGGCCATATGGAAAATGATGCATATGGATAGACATATAGACATACATGCATATAGACAGCTCTTCGAATGCAGATCTCAAAACTGCTTTCGCTATCTGCGGAGCTTTTCTGTAAAAGGAGTTATGAGCCTTTGTTCTCTCCAAAAGCGGCCTTCCCTTTATCAAGGGGCGGCCAGGCATTTCCGTTGTAACGGCGTGGTGTAGTGGTGAGTGCATGTGGTTTGCAGGTAAGCGAACAGGGTTCGAATCCTGTTGTTGCCCAGCAGTTTTGCATTTTTCTAAACTTTTTGCTTGCCTCTGAAAATGCCGCATATGGACAATTTATCGCAAATCTCGCAACTGAAACAGTTCTTTAGCTACACGTTAGTACTTTTGCCTTTAACACTTTGTGATTGATTACCATATCTGCTCATAGTTTTGCCGTTAGAAATTCTGCATTTATGTAATAGCTGTTACAACAAACTCCTCAGCTCTAAAGCAATTACTACTTCTCCAAATATGGGCCAATTAATCACCTACTGCGAGATTTGCGATAAATTGTCCATATGCGGCATTTTCAGATTCAAGCAAAAATTTTAGAAAAATACAAAACTCCTGGGCGACAGACAACAGGACTGTTGACAACCCTGTTCACTCACCTGCAAACCGCAAGTATTCACCACTACAACACGCCGTTACAACGGAAATGCCTTGCCGCGCCTTGATAAAGGGAAGGCCGCTTTTGGAGAGAACAAAGGCTCATAACTTTTTTACAGAAACGCTCCGCAGATAGCGAAAGCAGTTTTGAGATCTGCATTCGAAGAGCTGTCTATCCATATGCATCATTTTCCATATGGCCACTTCGACCAAAGTGTCTTCCCTGGTCAGTATTTTCTTAAGACTTGATCTCAGATCTTGCATTGTCCACTGATATCAGCTTTGAAACCCGTAGTTTTAGGTGATCCGTATTGATTATGCGATAGAATTAAAAGATTTTTTCAAATAAAAGTAGATAGGAATTCATGACTTTAAAATCGTGCATAAATCTATTGTTTACATCGGAAAATACATTTGAAAGAGTGGAAGTAGGACACGGATCCAACTTCAACCTTGTGTCCTCATTATATTACTATACTCAAATATGTCAAATCATCAAAAAATGCCGAGGATGCTTCTCCGCCTCTCGGAGGATGATTTAGAGGATCAGAGTAGGTACTGATGTGCTATGCTCGAGTGCATTTTGGCGGTCTCAAGTTGTTGGGTGGGCCTACACATAGGCCTCTCCCAATTTCACCTTCGCTGTCCTTAACAACGTTCGGCCCTCCAGTAGGAGTGGACGTGTTACTGACAATAGTGGGAGCAACACACCTTCGGAAGCATGAGGATATCTAAGCCTTGAAAATTTCATTTGTGAAAAAGGAGAGGGGTGGCGATAAGCCGGAGGTAAGCCGTTGGTGAGTACTTTAGAAAGCCCCTACCTACTTAGTCGTTGCATTCGCAGTCAGGAGACACGACATACGACAATGCGGAACGGCGTGCATAGATCGTCATCACTGTTGACTGCGGAGAACAATTCGGGAGTCATCATTTATTTATTTATAAGTACAAAGTGCATCATAGAGGAAGAACACCAAAGAGAAAAATCAAAAATAGACAGGAGGTCAACCAGTCCCCATCCTCAAGGCAAAAGCAGAATAAAATAAGAGTTAGATAAAAGACACGAAGCTGTAGACCCCTAACAAAAAGATAAAAGAAACGTGTACTATGTCAGAAAACATAGGCCTGTAGTAAACCCCCCTTCAGAGGATCTGCCCTGAGACGGACCTGAGTTGATCGTATGGCGCCTCGGTCTAGCATCCCGCGAGCTATTGATCTAGATTGCTTTTCAGGCATAAAAATCTTGCGCGCTATCAAAGAGGAAACACCTACACGTCTTGTGCAGGTTTGGTCAAACAGGTATAGGGCATACCAACCACCATCGGTCGTGGGTACCCCAAGATGAGGCTGCAAAGGCGCGACGCAAGCAGCGAAATTAGTACCCGAGCGCGAAAGTTTGCTGGTAGATCTGTGGCTAAGGTTAAATTATGCTGTTTTCCAAACCTTCTTGCTTATCCGTGAAGAAACTTCTCTCGCGAATCTGACGAACTTCATTTCGTACTTGATTGCATGTTGGAATATCTCGTTTTCCATATTTCACGCGATATGAGCATCATGAGCACCCTGAAACTTTTTCTTCCAAATTGTTATTAGGTAATGCAGCTTTGTGTGACTGTGACTTAAATTTGACACTTTGATTATATCAATTTTGAGATTAGGAAACTTGAACGTTGCACATGTTGTCCAACAAACTTGAACATGTTCGTCCTTCAATTTCTAGTAGTTAACCAACCAAATGGGGAAAAAAACAATAACATTTTCTCCTCGTGCTTATGCAAAGCGTGCTCGAGTCTCTTCAACTCAGAATGGATGATAATTTTGTACTGTGCATGAGCAAAAGATGCGCTTCACCAACCCTGCTTGAACACTCTTCAGCCGAACAGCGCCACGACCTGAAACGGTTAGTAATCGATACAAGCACAGAATCTGATGTCTAACAGGAAGAAGAAGGTAAACGCGGGTTGAATGAACGCCATGACTCCAAGAACAAGGCTACCTTTCGCGCTCGAGTGCAATCTTCTTCGCTCGCGTAGCGCGCGCGCTGCCTCATCCCTTGGATACCCACGACCGATGGTGGCTGGTATGCCCTATATGTGACTGGTACCCAGCCCGCACGACCGTGGTTCGGCGCCGGACAGTGGCGAATTTTTGCGCATCACTGAGCAATCTTTGATAGCGGCCACTATCGAAGAAAATCGATGACGGCCTCTATCAAGGAATCCACAAACCAAATGAATGCACAAAACAAAACTGCGTTTTTTTAACCAAAATTTCATCAGAAATTGAGGAAACAGGGACAAAATGGAATGGAAATAAATAAAGAGATTGCCGCTCTGAGTAGCTTTTGCAGAAAAAACCTAAGCAAACTCTGCAAAAAGAAAAAAAACCTATTCTTCTGTTTTTTGCCGAAATCAGCTGTTCATTGATCCTTTCCTTTTTGGGCACCGGAAGTACGATGTCCCGTAAGTTACTCACGAGCAACTTACAGGATTTTTTTCTGCGTCTCATCCCTTGCACACTATTTCGATCAATTCATCTCAAAATCGAGGCTGCTCTTACGGATTTCAGGTGAATTCATCGCGGCACATGCCCTGACGCTAACCCTTCAGATCAGGTCGCATTCTTAAGCATGTGAGAGTGACCGCTAGTCAGTTCATCTCAAATACCTCAACTCAGCTTCTCAGTTGAGATCATCTGAAGTGAAGTGGGGTTTATTACGGGTAATCTCGGATATCTTAAACACCCAAAACTCATAATGAACCCAGTTTTTGGGTGCCAGCGAGCGATCCGGTAAAAGGTAAAATCTAGCTGACCTGACCCCAAGAATATGTTTTGAAGGATAAATATGAGGATAAAATTTCATAAACTGTTCAGTAAAAATAGACACCTGTACCTGGTTCGGATTAGTACGAGCAAGCGAATGAAGAGGTCAAAAGATGGTATAGGTGATCATCAACGAAAACCTCTGTGAAATAAAAACGGCTTTTATCGAACGTTAGTGAAGGTAAGATTATGGTTAGTAGTAACAGCAAAAAACAGAAACTGCAGGATAGCGGTTGCGAACAAAAGACAAAATCAAACAAAAAGTAATCAACGAGGTAAGGATCATATGAAAGCAACACGCAGCGAAACATCATCCGACGCAACACAACGCAGCTTCATCGGTAGTAGTATCACAAGAAACAAGGCAAGTTCCAGATGAACTGAAAAAGAAAAACAACATTATCGATGTATGTCCCATTCTTTTTCGAGGACATCCAGCCAAATGTGCCTTGCATGGCTAGTTTGTCCCTGTAATACAAACCACAGGATGAGCGAATTTGTTTTGTCATTGGCAAGAGAATGGATTTCGAGCGCAAAAAGTGAAAAAAATTTGTTAACCCACTTGAATGCAACAAATCCTATCTGTCACAACTAATTTGTCTAACAAACAAATACGAATCTAAACAAATCCTCTAATCCTAACCAATCAGCATAAAAGGACTGATCATTACATGCGAAAATAGTCGAAATGCTCTGCACTTTCATTGTGGTACGTCTTTACCCAGTCTTCAGGAGAAGACACGAACTTAGCTAATGAATTTGTGACATTTTAGGTAGCAGCAACATTTCCTGCAGTCGTAAGAGGTAAGATTTCTCTGGTCAGTCTGTCTTTGTCATTTTCTATTTCTAACCCATTTTGTCCGACATATTTCTTCACATGAAAAAGGAGCGAAAAAAATTCGCCTTCAAAATCTAACTTCGCAAGCATGTATTTTCGGACCTAGCGTACTGTAGGTTTCTATATTGACGTCTTGCTGAGCCCTACATATTGTCACTTCGGTATACTAAATTTCTTTATCAATTACTCCCGGTATATTAGGTCGTTCCAAAAATAAAGTCGCTTTTTTCAAATATACGTCACATCCCACGGAATTAGAATTCGTAAGAGGTTTGATGCAGCATTTCATTCTCTCTCCAAAAGTCATAATGTCATTGCAAACATTTGATGAGCTCTTGAAAAATTACCAAAATCTGCGACCCACGCTTTTTGACAAGGTCATTTCACAAATTTTCTGAATTTTTATAACTACCCTTGAAGGAGTCCAAGTAGTGGATGTATAGAGCGAACCCTACAAGAATGAGCACATTTTTTTCTACTTTTCATAGCTCGTCTTATTGAAAACACTGAATTTTAGCGGCTTGTCTCAGACACAATTGTATCAAACACCAATAAATCTTCGGTTTTGAAACTTACAAAAGTGCTTTGTGAGTTGACGTTTGACGGTTTGACGCGCACAAAGTAGATGAGCATGCCGCCTTGATCATCGACTTTCGAAACTCCTGGTACAAACAGGGGCGCCTCAAAAATCTGAATTATGATGATTTTATCCAGAGAACTTATGAATCGGAAACAGAAAACAACCTGTAGGAAGAGGAGAAAAAGCTGCGTCGAATCACACCCGTTCTTCTTGCCGTTGTTCTACGAGGTTCATGTTGGCCAGATAGTAAGTTGATAGCATTGAAAAGTGATTTTAAAAATTCCAACAAAGGTACTTGGTCGAAGCAGCGTTTCCATATAAAATGTATACCGTTTTATAGGGCATAAAACGCTGATTCCAAACCTGCTTTCGGTATCTGCAAAGCGCTTCTGGGAGGGGAGTTCTGGGAATTTTTGAAGCAAAAATTTCAACGCGCATATACATTAGAATCATTCTTCAATACTGCTGTGCCTGACAGGTTTGTTAGGTGTTCTTTATTCCAATTAAGGCCTAACGTTTCGACGCCTTTCGTCTTCCTCGGAGGCCTGACCGGGAAGACGAAAGGCGTCGAAACATTGAGCCTTGACTGGAATAAAGAACACCTAACAAACCTGTCAGGCGCAGCAGTATTGAAGAAGGAAAGTGGAACTTTTAAATTACATTAAAATCATTCAGAATTGTAACCTGCGAGCTCAGATGGGACCATATATAGATGACATATTACACGTTTCCAACGATGTATCAGAATTTCAACGAAGATTGAAAGAAAAAACCAGCGCTAGTTTAACGGAAGCAAATCTCCTTGACTTTAATATACTAATTTGTGAGAACACGATAAAATTCAGCGTGTACAATAAAACGGACGTATACAATTTTAAAGTTGATAGATATCTACAGTGGGATTCTAATATACCAAGATATATTTTGTACAATACTCGTACCTCAGAAATATTAGGTTGTCGGATAATTTCTGTTACACTTTTTTCTAAAATTTCTAGGAAATCCCAGAAGCTTTCTGAAAACCCCAAATTTGCAACACGCTTAGGACAAAGCAGGATCTACCTACCAGCATGATTGATGCCGCAAGTGCACTAATGACCAACAAGCTTACGGCAGTTTTGTAAAAGTAGTCAAATTTTTCTCTTTTTGTCTAACCTTTCTCTCTGCACCTATTTGCGCTTTCCCTCTTCCAGAATTTTTTTAGAACGTATTTTGGCATTGCCTCTTACATAGAGGCATTCCGGTGCCTGTAGCGTTTCAAAAACGAGGGGTCGAAAAATTATCAAAAAAATTCAAAAACTTTCCTAAATTTTTCTTTTTATGTACATCGTATAGAAATGAACACAGAAAACATAAAAATGACTTTTTGAAATTTTTTGAAGACGTTTTCTTCGTAAAAATCCCGATGATTGCAAAGATGGCGCACACTGAGAGTTGAACCGCTCACAAAAACGTGTGCAGACATGTCTGCGTTATCCCCCAATATTAGCTAAACGCTACAGACTATGCCCCACCTGATTACCACATTGTTTGGTCTACTGGTCATCACCTGAGAAAACGTCAGCTCATTTACAAAAATGAAAAAAAGGATTTTCAGCCATAAACTGGGTGTTTTGCGCACGGATCGCGGATGCGACGGTACCCTTGTATAGGCCTTTTGATCCTGCCCATACGCCGTGAACATGAGATCTTTCCAAAGCTTCTGAGATATTTAAGAATTAAAATAAAAAATGTAACAGAAATTATCCGACAACCTAATACTTAGATTATATAGGAAATGCTCTGATTACGCACAGTTCAAAGCAAGAATAATTGAACTTAGTAGCATGCGTAAAAGTAAGATGGAAATTCGATATTTTTATGAATAGACTTTATCGCATATTTTTTGAGAGATCATTCATAATGCGTAAATGCGCATTTGCTACGCCTCTTCATTTCCCTCTTCTACACGAACTGCGCGAAACATGGAATGCGGCTAATGCGCTCTGAGGTCATGGCGGGAGAACACTCATTCGAATGTGAGGTTGCAATCAATTCCTCGTCACTCGTCTTACGTTTTGAATATCACATTTGTTTTTGTCAAATTTGCCTCTATTTTTCCTTGTCTTTCCTGCGTCTTTTGTGTTTACGAATTTGACTTTGATCCCAATTTTTGGTGAAATCTTTTGCTATAATTTTGAGGCTTCTTTGGGGACTACTGACGAGAGGCACCAAAAAAGCTGCACTACCGGTATAGTTCTTAGCCCCGAAACCGGATAGTGTTCAAAAACTCAGAAAAAATTGTAAGACTTTTGTTTGTGTTTAGCATTTAATTTATCAAATGCACAAAACATTCTTGTTATAGTCACTGCTAGGGCGCTTTATACAGGGTGTCCCAAAAAAATGTGAACACCGTTTGATTGTCAATAACACCCTTGCTTTCATGTCTTTCGCCGAGCTTGAGACACCATTTTATAAAACGAGGATTAGCTTAGATCTACAGTATGAAGCGAAACGTCGATCGCTCTTTATTACTGTAGGATTACGGTAGGAACTCCGACAAGGATTTTAGGCCATTGGAAGCCATATTCTCCTTGGAACAAAACCAAACAAGCCAAAAACTTTTATACTGTGACAACGGAAGCCGCTGAGTTCGAATATAAAACTTTTACTTTACTGTGATGCTTCTTTCCGAGGTTATCCCAGCTAAACCGTGATAATGAATTTCCAGCATTTGTCAGAAATGTGACTACACCGTCAAAAAAGCTAAAAACCTCGTAAAAAGTTGTGTAATGGAATCAGCGTGCGCGAAAACCCTAGACACGATTTTTCATATTTTTTGAAAGAAATTTTGTCAAATGGCATATTTCACAATAGATCAACATGCTAGAAGTTCATACCGTAATCCTACGATAACGAACAGCGATCGGTAAGTTGAACCTCGCACTACAGAATGGTGCCTCAAGCTCGGCGAAAGACATGAAAGCAACGGAGTTATTAACGATTAAACAGTGTTCACATTTTTTTGGGACACCCTGTACAGTTAATAATGCTTCATTACTCCTTTCAAGCGCCAGGAGGGCCTAAGCACCTGCTTTTAGCTTACCCAAACCTTTGAATTTTTGCCTAATAGTCTCCTAACTCCCCTCCCAGAAGCGCTTTGCAGATTTGGAATCAGCGTTTTATGCCCGATAAAATGGTATACATTTCACATGGTCCACTTCGACCCTTGTGAGAAGCAAGCTAAGGAAAAGAAGAATGTTTTGTGTCCTATAGGGCTTGCTCTATCTACCCGTTACTTGTATTTCCTCATGGGATCAGTACAAAAATTTGTAAAAATAGCCGAACTTGACCATGGCAAAAAGCATGAGTTTTTTCGGTAATTTTTTGAGAGCTCTTTGAGTATTATGCAATGACATTGAAACCAGTAGAAATAGGATGAAATGATATCGATGCTTCCGATTTCTTGAAAATGTTGGTTCCACGAAATGTGGCGTTAATTTGAATGAAGCGGCATTGCTTTCAGAACGACCTCATAGAATAATCAAAACCATAAAAGGGGGTTTTTCCAATTTGAAATTAGAATGGGGAGACTGGAGCAGAGGGGGGGGGGGAGAAAGAAAATGGTTGGAGTAGAGCGTTGAGAGGAGGAGGCGAGATAGGAGACGGGAAAGCGGAAGGAAGAGGAAGGGAAGGAGGATAATAAGTTGTATAATGTATTGTATCGTAGTATTTGTTAGGCACGAGATTTTGCTTCTTGGAAGTGCAATAAGTCAACAACTGAAGTTTCAAACATCTATAAATCAGAGACCAGCACGATGTTACGTTTGAAAATTTTGAAAACGAAATCTCTTTTGACATTGCAGACTTTTACGAAATACCCTGTGGTAATTGTACAATAGTAGCTGGTGAGTCTATACATACCGGTTTTCTTCACGTTCATTTACCTCTTAATAACCTGCAATAACATTAACAAAAAACATAAATGTTCATCCTAGGTGCTCAGGAGTGCGATGGAGGTAGTATGGAAAGTTCGGACGTCAACGAGATTCTCAATAGAATCAATGAAATGCGTTCAAGTGTAATTCAAGGAAATCAGAAGAACGGACAAGGACAGGAGAAGCTGCCGGCCGGAAAATATATGACTCAAATTGTACGCTTACATCTAACAGCATCTCTTTATTTGATTTGAGTGTCACGAGAAAATCAAATGGTTCCGAAGTTCAGGGAACGGGTATTTAGGGGTACGAGCGGTACCGCCATTAGGTACCGCCCTCCGTAGGATTCACAGTTGCGCCCTTTTTGTTATTAAACAGATTTTTTTCAAGTGTATGAGTGAGGATCCTTACAAACCCTTTGGACAGAATTTCGGATTTCTCCTCCTTCTAGGTAAGAAGACCGATGGCGTAAGATAAAACCTTAAAAATCTCCTCTAATCCAAGAAAGTTGTAGGCTTTTGCACATTATATTCTTGGAACATCCATGATAATCAAACAGCATCACAGTGAAGTCCATTCATCTTCGCAGCCCTTTGCATATATTTCCTAGCAAGAGCAAGCCTAGGCCAAGACGAGGCAAATGTTCGGTGCACTTTTTTCTCATCCTCGAAACTCAACGATGGGAAATGTCAGTTCAGCAGCAGTTCCTTTCAAGATTCTTCAGCAGTCCCTGCCTTAAGAATCTTGAAAAGAAGAAGCAGCGAATTGGCGACCACTTCAGCGAGGAACAAATAAGGGAAAACCATTCAATATCTTTTGAAGTTTTCATGGAAATGGAAGGCGAGACAAATCGACACGCGGAACTGAGAGTAAGCCAAGCAGGCACATTTTGCATCCATGGGCGAAAATCTGCATCTTCTAACCTGCTGTCGGTGGCAGTATAACCATGAATGAATTGGTTAAGAACGTAAATTGCTTTTATTACTTTTAATTGCTATACACCTTCATGTTTCAGAATTGGAGTTGTGACCTAGAAAAGGAAGCCATGGGTGGTACAAACGCAGATTGTAGCGATCCTACAGCGCCATCTGGCAAGAGTGGATTCTATAAGAAGTGGGTTTGATTTCATGGGATGCATATTGTGGGGAAGGGGGGACTTTTCATACGATCGGGAACTTCGCACCTAGCCTTCGCACCTACCTCACACCTACATCGCACCTCTTCATCCACGTAATGATTAAGATTCTCCACTACGCCTAGGTGAGGGGCGGGGGGAGGGGGACATTTCATACGAACGCTCCCCGATGACTTTGACCTCCCAGCGGTATGCTAAGGTGCTAGTAATACGATCAGTTATCGATTACAATGGACTAAAATGAAAAGATTATTACGAAAAATGCGCAAAGTAAGGAATATCTTGATTTTATCTGTTGTATAAAGCTTACCGGGCGGTGGTGGGGGTGCAGACGACGAAAAATTCGAAAAGCTTTGATATGGCGTATAATAGTAAAGATCGTCAGGCTACAGCGAATTCATTTTCGCAAACAATTGGCACAATGGTGGTAATAAAGTAATTCGCTTCAACGAGTCGCGTGCCCTCCAATGGGTGTATGTCAAAAGGCGCGATTCCTATTGCGAGATGGGCAGCATATAGCACATATTTAGTGTTTTATGAAGTTCTAGAATTACTTGAAATTTCGAAAGAAATATATTAGGAAATTTAGGGATTCTTCGATATCATCATCTTGAAATCGATTTCAAACAAAATTGTTAAAGGTCAAAAACACATGAGCAGTCAACAGCAATCTTGTAAATATTTCTGTCAGTTTTCTAGCCAAAGTCGTCAAACTTATCAAGTGGCTACTTCAAACAGCTAGTAAGCCAATGAACTTTGTCCGGCACTTTTTGAATTCTCCCATAGCATGAAACTGGAGTTTTAAGTTGATGACACCCAAAAAAATCGCGCCTCTTGACCGTCTCCCCCCCCCCCCTCCAATGCCCCTATCGGAAGAGTAGCACTTTCAGGTCATGCTAAAAGGTCGGGGAGGCATGTGACAATACTCAAATCAGCTCAAAACGTTTGTAAAAGAAAAACCGAATTATGTCGACTTAGTTGTGGAAACGGTGCGTGAGCGTTGTTCCAAGATTGTTAAGTTGTTTAAAGAACTGTAACAATCTTGGAACAACGCTCACACACCGTTTCCACAACTACCAAAGATGCCAAGATTCAAAAACGATCGAACATGGGCAATATGTCGACTTAAATACTAAAAAATTCGTAAGTCGAACGAATGTGTGAATAATGTTATTTTTCACAGCAAAACACTTTTTGAATTCATTCAGCATTCAAGTTTTCATTTTATTCAAATTCGCGGTACTGTAAAAGCTTATTTAGATGTTTTGTTTGTTTTTTTGAATGGAGCCAGCAGGCCCAAACCTGGCATGGTGTCAGTTTTTACTGGATCTTTGCCAAAAGACGATGTGTGGGCATTCCTATACAGTCTGCCCCAATTCTAACCAGGCTAAAATTGGCTTGGCGGGAGTGCGCGTCGCGAGGGTTTCGCACCACTTCTGCGTCTAGCTAGTCTGCTCTCTCCTCAATCTCTTCGCTCTCTGCGACAGCCCGCGTATGCAGCGCAAACCCCTAGCGCTGCGAGCGCGCAAATTCAGCCGACGGTTCGGCCTGATCCCGATTGGGGCAGACTGTAAAAGCCCCCTCTCCCTTCTACAGTATACCAGACACGGAGGTGCGAGACTTGACACTTAACCATAGGTGTTCACACCTCGCACCTCGGAATTGCTCATTGTATGAAAAGTCACTCACCCCATATTGTTGATAGCAACTTACACTGATACGATTGCGTGTATTTAAACCTTACAAAGATTATACTTTCAGAGACTCCGAAGATACTTTTATCTCAGCATCATATTACGTTGAAAATTGGTTAAGGCGTATTGAGGATTTTCCTTTGACCGATTATAAGGATGGCGCGGTCAAGTATTCTGGAGCCATAAGTACGAAGGAATTTGCAAACGTAAGTCTACTCCGAAGAATCGAATTTGTAAATTATTGACTGAATTCAATCACTTCAGCTCATTAATCCAGAGGCAACTGAGATTGGTTGTGCTTTTGGATCGTGTTCAGACAGTGGTGATAGCATGTTCACTGTCTACTGCCTTACAAATAAGGAGTAAGTACTTTGCTGCCTTGGCTCGTGGTAGGGTACGCCGCAGGACGCAGCATCCTGCCGCAGTACGCCGCGTCCTGCGGCGTGCGCCGCTGCAGGCCGTGAAAATATAAGCTCGCCCGCTGTGAAGGAACCTCTCGGAGAACACGAAAGTGCAGCAAATACAGATGTCCCATAACCGATGAAGCCGTGCTGCGCATATTCTCACTGCTCAGCGGCGCACGCCGCAGGACACATCGTGCTGCCGCGTGCTGCGGCAGGCTGCTGCGTCTTGCGACGTAGTATGAAGGATAAACCCCCAAGATATGTCGCAATGTAAGGAGAACGAGGTCACGATGCTCCGAATGAAGTACATGCTGCTCACGATCATGCCTTGGTTGCCGCAGAACTTCTCGCACACGCACGTTCGAACCCCTTGTTGCGGCTCGGTGGGCTCTGCGCCCCCTCACCTAGTGCTCGACTGCCTTGCGCCCAGCTCCTGTCCCCAAAGGACTTCCGCCACTGCGGGTGGCGCCAACTCACAATGGCGCGTTACGCCTACACTATGCACGAAACAATAAGAATATATAAATTTACTAAACAAATACACACGATAAATACACGACACAAATAAATACAAATATACTTACCACGGGGAGAGTTAAGCTCTACCCCGGGCTACCGATGGGGGCTCTAACTTACTCACACTCACACACTAGCACACTCACACACTCTCCCGGAATCCAAGGGAGCTACCCACAGGCCGGCCGCGCGCCGCCAAGGCAGCAGCTACGGCACGGCAACACCGACCCCATGATGTTAACCAACAGCATCGAACAAAGCTCCCAACAAATCCTGCGCGACCAAGGCGCTTCGTGATGTTCATCATCCTGGAATTCTATCCTCGCGCATACATCCAAACAATCCATCAACGATCCATCCAATCGCGCGAGGCACGGGGACGTAGACACGACGGCGATATCGTGGAAACCCAACCAATCAATAATAAAGGCGGCACGACAATGATAGTAAGATGATAAGACGAGAGAGACCGCACTGGCGCGCGTACGCGCTATTTATAGCGGTGGCTGGGGGCGTGCCTACGTCGTGTGGTCTCGGAGCGAACAAGGTAGCCGCCGTAAAGCGCGGCGACCGTGCTCACGACCGAGACGCGCGGCAACACGGTGCTCCCGGCCACATGCTGTGAGGAGCGGTCGATCGCGAGCCGCGACACCCCTAGTTGATCAACGCACCTTGACATCGCGCCATAGATACATGGCTTATTATGAAATATCTACAAAGGGTGAGTAAGGTGGATAGAGCTTAGGACAAACCAGTACTGGAAAAAGAGCTCACGGACAAATCAGTATGAGGAAATTACAAGCAGCTTTTTTCGTGTTGAGCACTGTGTGTGAGTTTACAGCTCTCACCTTTTGGTAATACCTCCCGATTTTGATAGGATAAAGATCAGTTTGGATTTTTTATTAAGCGATAGCGCAGCCCCACTGTCGCGCGCAACTAAGCTAGACGTCGTGGAGATTACGAGTTTTAAGTAAAGCGAATTTTCGTACAGTGATAAAAACACATGTTGCTCTATTTTAATGACAGCAAAAATTATGATGAATCACATAAGTTATAAGTAACCGTGAAAAAGAGCATGCAAAAGACAATAACAAAATAGTTGCAAGATGAAAAGGAACCTAAACTGCTGATGCTTGGACAACTTGACGTGCTCGATCCATAGTCGGATGCGCCTTCCTGTGTCTCCTCGCTGGGCGCACTATTTTTTTCGTACGAGCATGTAACTAGATTCATGCTGGGTTCGTCCTATGCGCACGAGCACGAGCACGTCCCACACTCACGACCTCCACTGATTTCACCCGGCGGCCGTGATAAGAGATAGCCGCCGGATGACCTGATATCGAATTCATCCATTTTGGACCAACACAGCTTTAAGAATTGTTTCTCAAAAGCAGATGACTTTTTGGGTTAAGTCGAAAAGCGCGTTTCTTTCAAAGTCGTCGTTGCCAAAATGGATAGTACTGCCTAAAAGCAAGGTTTCTAGACTCCCAGAGTTTTGTCAAGATTTCAGGATCTAGCGGAGGACCATTTAGTTGAAACTAGGAAAGAACGAGGTAGATTCGATCTTCTTTTCCTTTTTTTTCCTACTTAATGACAGCCTATTAATACGCGCTTTTCGACCGCTCTGTTTTCTGTACATGCACAGCTGGACGGAATGCTCAAATTGTGCGAGTCCGAAATAATAATAATGACGAAAGTCTTCGGGTGTTAGGAGATACTGGTGAGATTTGGCGAAAGCATTTTTGAGATGCCCGTTTTTCCTTCGATTGCAGCGCTCAAATAGCGTTACATACGTTAACTTTCTGATGCTGAGAGTAATTATATGCATGGCCTGGTCAGATGTTCGCATGGTTTTTTTTGCATGTAGATACAATTTTCAGCGTGATAAAAAACCCTTATTGCGGCTCTAAGCTTCACATGGATGTAAGTTTGTGCGAATTTTTAGTGAATCTTATAGATGCCCTGCTCTATTAAATGGTGCTCCATTGCTGAAATATTAGGTTGTCTCATATTAATGCACGTTTTATGAATTTCAAATTCTAATCAAGATAATTCTTTTCCAAAACCATCTTTTTGAGCGCAATAAAAATTACTGCAATCAACAAACCTTTGACTATAGAACGCATGCTTTTGTTGGATCGCAGCCATTTTGAGAAAGATTTTGTAACCTAAAAAATTCCCGAACATTTTTCTAGAAAGCTACACTTTGAGAGAGCTTAACTTTCGCTTAAATGTACTAGGATCGCGCGGACTTTGCTCATTATATAGCCGACGGTTGGTTGTGCAATGGAGTGAAGTTGAAATTTTACGGCATACTTCTGTGAAAAAATTTTTGCAAAAAAACTGGACGTACTCATTTTTTTCAATATTTTGAAAAACCCAAAATACTGTCGTTGTGGGATTTTTCAAATTTTTTCTCTTCAAAAAAAAAACGAGAAAATGCTGCCGTTTTCCTAGCATTAGTTGCACTAGGTCTAATCTATGTGTACATAGCGTAATGTATACAGTCGCTTTTCGCTTGAGATTTTTATGCGACTTAGATGGGCCTCAGCTACCAGCCAAGTTTGAGGCAAAATTTCTCGGCTCGGATTTTTTCAAAAATCTCATGCTAATAAGCTTTTGTAGCACAAAGCTTCGCGATCATTAAACATATTTTTCTAAGAAAATCCGTCTACTTTTCATGGATTTAGAGCAATGAGAGTGAAGAGAAAGAATTTCATATTTTAATTACTTGTTTTTGAAGGCATAAAACTTCGGCTTCAACAAAGATTTACGAAAGCAAGCACATGTTAGAAACTAGAGGCATCGGGTTTTCCGACAGTATAGATGGTTTTAAAGAAAAATGTTTCTTCTTTGAAAATAAGCTCCTTTAAGAATAGGTTAGAAAAACGTGCATTAATTATGAGACAACCTAATAAACAAACGACTTTCTGAAAAACGCTAAAAAATCTAAGATTGAACCTTTATAATCACATCACCTTCAAAACGCATTTGTTTGTTTCAGTCCGCTGGCCTGCTCCTACGACAGGGGAAAATGCGTTAAAATGCAAGGGCAAAAAAAAGCATTCAGTTTTCGAGCAGTTCTACACCAAAACAAGAATTTTACAAACTCTTTTTGTTACAGATGATTGGTGAATGGTACACAAATAACAAATAAATAATGCGAGACTTTCTTGTGTATTCGTTTAAAAAGCCATTCCAGAAGCTACCGATACTAAAGAAGGTGTTGAAGTGCTTAATATAAAATGATCCAACAGCAAGTCGGACATATCTTCTAGGTTACGTGCAGCACTAACAGAATGCGGCTACACGCTTTCGACTGCATCTTCAAAAATTCTTGCAATGCTTTCTGAATTTTTTACGGAGGGGTGGCTGGAGCCGTGCCCTCAAAGTGAATTTTTTGCAAAGCTACGAATTTAGAAATTTTCATGAATCAACTCCGGTTACCTCAAATAAAAACTAATGTTTTGCACACTATATAAGTCATATGGACCACTTCCGAAAATTTCGGGACTCGTTCTTAGGGTATGCACCTTCCTCCCCAGTAGTGGCACTGTTGAGCATATATGAGATTTTCTCCAGCCCACTTGCCAGCGGTGATACTATCTACGAGGAAGGAGCTGGCGGTTGTGAGAATTGCCCGGAGGGGACCACATGTGACGATACCACATACCATGAAATTGTGTGCGAGTGAAGCTACAACCACAACGGTGCCGACTACGACTACGACTAGCACCACAACGACGACATCTACGACATCCACGACATCTACGACAACTACTTCTTCAACTACGACAACCACCACAACAACCACGAGGGAAGCCATCTACCCCACAGGTATCTTTGACTCTTTTAGATAACGGAACTGAGATGATTTGAACTTTTTCAAATCAACGAAACAAAGTGATCGGAACTATGGCTAGGCCGTATCGTTCATTTATAGTCAAAATTCATATCGTGCTGTTGTAATGCATATAGTAATCAAACTTGCCAACTACATATGAAGCACCGCAGATATTCAGTAGATAACAACTCCACTTCACTAGCCTAAAAAGTGCTCAAATTGGCATATAGCGTTGCTCCATAGTTATAATCTATGTTTTGGGGAAAGAATCTTTGAAACGCCACTTGCGTTACCAAGGAATGGCACGAATGTCCGAACGTAGTTGCTTTCTTCATACCACCTGGACTCCTTTTCATAGGCATTGTGGCAGAAGCAAATTTTTGCAGGCGTAATTGATATAACAAATTTGTTCGTGGGCCTCCTAACCAGTTCGTATGCATTTCTCATTTCGCGTAAAAAAATGCATCTAAGTGCGCTCGAACCTCACTTTGGGAATTCGGGCAATTCCACCATTTGCTCTGTACGAGACCCATCGTGCCATTCTCCATTATGTAAAAATCATATGAGGTTCAGGTGCCAAGACGGCCCTACTTTGACTTTTCGACTTTAAGCGCTTATAGAGGGTTATAGTTCATTCTACAGAATACGAAAAGACTTCTTTTCAAGAACGTGAGAAATAGAAGAGTTATATCAGATTTCAAGACAAGCAAAAATGGAATTTTTATACCTTCATAGTTTGCTCGTGACTGATTGAACTCAAAGCCTTTCTAGACCTTCTCAATCAGATTGTAGAGAACAATTTGTACTACAACGCAGACTTATTATCAGTTGCATTCGTAAATAACAAGATGTATTTGCGAAAAATCCCTTACGAGCAATGACCTTATGCTCAAAATCGGTTAGAGGCCCCAAACATGGAAAACCTTCCAGGTAAAAAAAAACTCCGTATTGAGACATGTAGACGAGTACCTATCACGACCGGGTTTTGAGTCTGATTTAGAAGACATTTGTTCTTTAGGAAAATCCAATCACAGCAATTTTCGGTACGCTGCCTCTCAATCATGTTCTTGAAAAATCAAAAATTGTCCTCGAAATAGTTCGCAAATTTCCCACTTATTGTTAGCAGTATCAGAGGCAAAGGCTTGCTCTACTTCCGCGAAAGGCTTGCTCTACTTCCGCGCGCAATTACAAAGAAAGAAAAAAGATTGTCAAAATGATATTATATCAATTCTCAAAGCCAGAGTACACTTCAGTTGGCGAGAGGAACTGGAATTTTTCAAAAGATAAAACAGCGAAATTCTGATCTGACCACTGCATTACGATAATGATGGTTTGTGAAAGCAAGCAAATACATACTTGATCCGTTTCCAAGCCCTACTAGTACCCTCTGGCACCCAAGGAAACGCGCGCCGGTAAATTTGGCGCACCTTGTAGATGCGCAAAAAAAGACTCCGAAGCAATTCAACGAGATCGAGAGTCTGGCTGGAAGCTTTGAGCTTAGGTTTATTTTTAGATCTCTCCATTGTTTAGCATAGCTCCTCAGTAATGAAAATTCCCGAAAAGCTTCTTAAATCAACAGCTACACAGCTTACAAACTTTTACGCGAAAACACTTCCAATACTTTGAAAAGACTGATTAGACTACAACCTCTCTTCAATCGATAGACAAGAAAATTCTGCACAAGGTTTGTAGTTTGTATACAGTAATACCCCTTTCTTTTGGTATTGTCATTTTCCCCTTCTTTTGATAAAATCATTTTGACGCCTCCGGAGGGTTTTGGGGGTAGAGGACTATATGTCGCCGAAAAAGGGCGGCCCCGCGGTCATTTGCGACAAATACGCACCCTTGTACATGCGCAGACATGCGTTCCTGCAAAGAATCCGCGCGGGACCCTTCCAAATTCGGCGACATACAGTTGTGACAGTGGAATGTGAAAAATTTCGGCGAATTCGCCGAATTCGCCGAATTCGCCAAGTTCGCCGATGTCGCCGAATTCGCCGATGTCGCCGATGTCGCCGACTTTGCGTCTTTTCGTCATAACTCCCTTCGTTCTCAATGGATTTCAAATTTGAAGGCAGATTTAGATTCAGCTCGCCGAGACGAATCTTTCCATATATTGAACTGCTGTAATGGGCTCGGTCACGGTAATTGCATGGTAGGAATCCGTTGCATCCTGTGGTGGTGTTTTTTAGCGTGTGTATTTCGGCGCATAATGTAGGCAAAGGCTTAGAAAAAGGGCGTTTGATGGAGGAGTTTCTGCTGAGTGTTTCCAGCAGAAAACCATATCCTTTTTTTGTAGTGGAAGAGAGAGAAAGGAGTACGTGAACTTAGTAAGTATACATGAACCACTTACCGTCAAAAAAACATAACTATACAGTAACACTATGATTAGCAAAACAATTATAATCAGGGTTGAGCAAGAGGTCAGGCACAAGTCCTTCAAAAACGACCCTCCCCCCCCCCCCTGTGAAAGCCCCTAACCGACCCTCCGCTTTACCTCCAAGTCCTTAGGGTGTTACATTTTGAAGAAGACCAGCCTTCACTGCAGGTTTCGCCCGACTGTCTGCGATTGCACAACCACACGCAACTTGACGGCAAGTTTTACTGGATAGTCCTCTTTTCAGAGCTATGATTTCCACAGGGGTGGAGTGTTTGGCTTCAAATTTTCAATATAGCAAGAAAAGGCTTTGCGCTCAATACCAATATCAAAAAGGGGCGATTTTTGAATGTTGAAGGCAAGTTAAGAGAGTCAGGCGCAACCCCTTAAAAGCTCAGGCGGCCTGACCTTTTGAGGGGTTGCGCCTGACCCCATTAACTTTATTTCCGAAAAAGCTTTTCTACCTAAGTTTCATGTGATTCGCTAGCTCAATCCTAGAAGATTCCACAGTAAGTGTTTGAGCTTGATTCGACCTTGTGCTAATCCGAGAAGTTGAAGCACTCAACGTGCAAAACCATGGCTCTGAAGAACGAAAGTTTGTCCATTTTTTTTACAAATGCACATATACCTCGAAAAGGTGCCATATTTGACTCAAAGTTATTCCCTAAAACTCATAGCATGAGACCACTGGTGATGCATATGGTTTTATCTCGACATTGTGTTATTTGATGTTTTTTTTTTCATAACCACGTTCCTTTGGCGCATCAATGGATGCCCTCAATAAATAAATAAATCTTATATATAAAGCTGAATGTCTGTTTGTATGTCTGTAGGTATGTCTGTATGTATGTCTGTATGTACGTATGTTCCGAATAGAAATTTTTATTTCTGAACCGATCCGGACCAAACTTGGCACACATACATTTCGGGCCCCGGCGGATGTCGTAGGCTACTCCTACGACATCCGCCGGGGCCCGAAATGTATGTGTGCCAAGTTTGGTCCGGATTGGTTAAGAAATGGAATTTCTATTCGGAACATACGGCGGAGCCGGGTAAGCCAGCTAGTAAATAAATAAAACGCGCCGGTTGGAACTTTGGCAGTACTTCTTACTTCACTATTTGAAAGCGATATCAAGTCCGATTTGTAGCATAGACTTGTAGAGAACATTACTTTGTTATGAGTATACAAAAGCTGACTTTTCTCACTTGTGAAACCAAGTTGATCACTTTTGAAAATCACGCTTTCTAGGCGTTGAGAAACACTAGAGACTGCAGTAGGTAATGGTTTGTAGAGCCCATAGAGGTAATATGACATGCTGATTATGGAAATGATACCCATTTCACACAGCAAGCTTCCTTGTTTACTTCATATGTCAAGGTAAAAGAGAAGAAGATTTGAATTTTGGCTGAAACATCCATTGTGGAAACAATCAGTATGCTGTTTATGACCGTCATTCCTTCATGTAATCGCGATATCCACCGGAATAGCGCATTTCTTCTTCACCTTCACAGTATCTCCCCAACTTAATAAATTCGATTCTTAATTACGACCTCCCCCCCCCCTCAGTCTTATCCTCAATACGATCCCCCAGGTCGGGCGCGCCTGACCCCACGCTCAACCCTGATTACAATCTTTGTAATAAGCATGTCTTGTTGCTTATGTGAGCAAAGTGACACACCGCATGACTATGATATTCTGCTTCCAGCAAGACTTCACTTTTTTTCTGCAGACGCCTCTTTGCAACGCTATGGGCCAGCCCCTTTCACACTTAAAAGATTCCGGTAAGGCGAATCGGAAAGAGTCGTTTCCGTAGATAATCCAGCGGTAAAAAGTAGACGGAGACATGCTTTATAAAGCGCGAAAAGAGACGGTGAATTCTGCAAAAATCACGCGCCTTTAAATTCTACTCGCCATAACTTCCTTCGGAATGAGTATATTCTGAGTCCGAAAACGGTGCTGTGCTCAGCTCATCAAGGCGAATCTTTTGGTATACAGCATGTCCTTGATATTTCGATTTCAGTATTTTTGAATCTTTCTGAGGACGTCTTTTCGCGAAGGTGTAAAGCAGCAAGCATTGTCCCGAGTACATTTCAGCAAGGATCTTTCGATAGTACTTTTTCTGTAGATTATGATGCGCTAAATAGTAGTCGCAGGTTTCTTTTCAAAGGAAATAGAACGGCTGGTGAATTGTGGAAAAATCTTGTCGTCCCAAATTCTAGTCGCCATACCCGCAGGATACGAAGCTATCTTGCTAAGCAGATGTGAGTTTCGAAATCAGCAGGTCGGATAACCTCTGTGAGCAGGTTTTCCGATATGTTCGGGTTATTCCATTTTTTCTCGTTTAACGCTCCAGAAGCTCGCCGATGGATTTTGGTCAAAATGTTGATGCTCCTGAATTGTAAGGAAACTTCGCTTATAGAGGTTTTCGAACACGCTCTTTACGAAAATCGTGGTCTTTGAGGATTACAGGGTCTTTTTGGAGAGATACGGTGAGATGACTGTAACTTCATCACGAAAGTACGTAACTCTGGCCGCACTTCTCGCGTATCTCTCAGAAACCTTGCTTGCTTGCTTTTCTAAGTCAAAGTGACTAGGAACTGAGCTATCGAATGATGCATGAATCGGGCTCCAGTCTATAAAATTCATGAGGACGTTCATGGGGATTACAGTGTCTTTTTGGAGAGATACGGTGAGGTAACTGTAACTGCACCACGAAAGTGCGTAACTTCGGCCGCACTTTTCGCGTATCTGTCAGAGAACTTGCCTGCTTGCTTCTATAGGTTAAAATTACTAGGAATTATGCTATCGAATGGTGCATGACTCAGGTTCCAGTCTGTAAAATTCGCCGAGTTACGAGCCTACGAAAACACGTCCTCATGAAATTTGCACATAAAGTAAAGATCGCGTACTTTGTTGAAATTCCATCGTGAGTGGTTGTATAAAACGCGGGCGGGGTGAACACAACATTTGCAATTAGTCATGCAACCACACACGATGGAATTTCAACAAAGTACGCGATCTTTACTTTTTGTGCAAATTTCATGAGGACGTGTTTTCGTAGGCTCGTAACTCGGCGAATTTTATAGACTGGAGCCCGATTCATGCACCATTCGATAGCTCAGTTCCTAGTCACTTAGACGTAGAAAATCAAGCAAGCAAGGTATCTGAGAGGTACGCGAAAAGTGTGGGCAAGTTACGCATTTTCGCGGTGCAGTTACAGTTACCTCACCGCATCTCTCCAAAAAGACACTGCAATCCTCAGAGACCACGATTTTCGTAAAGAGCGTGTTTGAAAACCTCTATAAGTGAAGTTTCCTTACAATTCAAGAGCATCAACATTTTGACCAAAATCCATCGGCGAGCTTCCAGAGCGTAAAACGAGAAAAAATGAAATAACCCGAACATCTCGGAAAACTTGCTTATAGAGGTTATCCGACCTGCTGATTACGATAATCACATCTGCTTAGCAAGAGAGCATCATATTCTATAGCTATGGCGAGTAGAATTTGGGACGACAAGATTTTTCCACAATTCACCAGCCCATCTTTTTCCTTTGAAAAGAAAATTGCGGCTACTGTTAAGCGCATCATAATCTACAGAAAAAGTACTATCAAAAGATTCCTGCTGGAATCTACTCGGGACAATGCTCGCTGCTTTACACCTTCGAGAAGAAACGTCCGCAGAAAGATTCAAGAATACTGAAATCGAGATACCAAGGACATGCTGTATATCGAAAGATTCGCCTTGATGAGTTGAGCACAGCAGCGTTTTCGGATTCAGAATATACTTATTCCGAAGGAAGTTATGGCGAGTAGAATTTAAAGGCGCGTGATTTTTGCAGAATTCACCGTCTCTTTTCGCGCTTTATAAAGCATGTCTCCGTCTACTTTTTACCGCTGGATTATCTACGGAAACAACTCTTTCCGAATCGCCTTACCGGAATCTTTTAAGTGTGAAAGGGGCTGGCCCATAGCGTTGCAAAGAGGCGTCTGCAGAAAAAAGTGAAGTCTTGCTGGAAGCAGAATATCATAGTCATGCGGTGTGTCACTTTGCTCACATAAGCAACAAGACATGCTGATTACAAAGATTATAACCGTTTTGCTAATCGTAATGTTACTGTATAGTTATGTTTGTTTGACGGTAAGTGGTTCATGCATATTTACCAAGTTCACGTAATCCTTCCTCTTTTTTCCACTACAAAAAAGGATATGCTTTTCTGCTGGAAACACTCAGCAGAAACTCTTCCATCAAACGCTCTTTTTCTTAAACCTTTGCCTACATTATGCGCCGAAATACACACTCTAAAAAACACCACCACAGGATGCAACGGATTCCTACCATGCACTTACCGTGACCGAGCCGATTACAGCAGTTCAATATACGAAAAGATTCGTCTCGGCGAGCTGAATCTAAATCTGCCTTCAAATTTGAAATCCATTGAGAACGAAGGGAGTTATGACGAAAAGACGCAAAGTCGGCGACATCGGCGAATTCGGCGACATCGGCGAACTTGGCGACATCGGCGAATTCGGCGACATCGGCGAACTTGGCGAATTCGGCGAAATTTTTCACATTCCACTGTCACAACTGTATAGTCCTCAACCCGGGCTTTGGATACGCGCAATGGTTTTTGGTGAAATTTCCCTATCACCAGCTCTCTTTTTATCAAATTGTGGACATGAGTGTGGAAAAGCAAGTCTTTTGTTCTCTGATAGATTAAAGGAAAAATCCGTGGGAGATTGGAACGAGTTGAAAGGGCCTTCTATTCGTTGAATGTCCGAAAGATGATTTTGAACTATTGCAGTTTCTTCTGGCTGCGGGCCGAAGCCCAGTCCCGCTTAATTTTCCAGCTAGCATCATAGTGTTCGCTCCTCCCAAAAGCAAGCATCATAGCCCTTTGGAATTTGCTCTCGATCCTTTTTTCAGATTTTACTGAACTTTTCAGTGAAAACTGCGATTTGCAGTTTTCATAACGCTTTGTGTTAGATTAAGTCTAGTTAAGAAGCGATGTCAAGAAACACAGTGGGATAAAAGAGTATAGAGAAGACATTCAGCTTCAGAACATGTCATGAAATAGACCTAAAATGGATGTTTCGCAAATTTCACACTTCATGTGGACCACCCTGTACATAAAGGCAAGCAGTCAAGCTGGCCACTTTTTCTGAGACTGCATCTCGGAGCTACAAATTGAGCAACGCATCAAAATCATTGATTTAGACATAACTTATACCACTTCTTTCCACATTTGGAAATCTTTTCTAGCAGAGGTGGCCAAAGATTAGTGCTTTGGTTTAAAGCGGAAATGTCTTTGTCGTCCCTAACATCTGCATGAGTGCGCTGAGGTGATTGTGTGTTGTTCACTGGACTTTGCGAGGTTCTTTTTGGACAGTGCAAATTTGAGAGTAATCGGAATATCTCTTCCAGTCAATGGAAACCTTCCAAAGAACCTACGGCATGAATGGATCGAATTTGGTAGATTTGAGTGCAAAAAGTCAAAGCAACCACACTTTTAAAGCTTTTGCTTGAAAATATGTTTTACGTCGAAGAATTCGTGCAGATGGCAAAAACAAATATGGCACCTATCTACATGCAATTACCAACTTACCTTCCCGTTTGAGCAATTTGGAGTAATAAAAATAGACTATCGTGATTACAGATTTCGCGAGTTGCAACCTGTCAAGATAACTTCCAGTTATTTTACGCCCGTAATTCATAATTGAAAGATAATCTTGCGACTTGCATATGTTGCTAGACTTCAATCATCAACTTTAGACCCGTCATCTACACCTATAAAAGAGTGCAGCTGAAAGTCAGTGCCCGGACAAGGTGGTATTGCAAGCTCAGTGCGATGTGAATTAGACTCCATTGGCAGCTAGCTAGAAAATTGCTCGGGCAATTGGAATAACTCCCTCTGTTATTGTTTCGCCTCCCGTGGTTTCTTCCTAGACTGTGCACGCCCTCCTTAGATTGCAAAGACCTACAGCGATTCTGCGTCTCATTTTTGGCGAAAACTGTCTCACTTGTAGAATCGAAACGAAAGGCTTTGGAAAAAGGTCTTCGCTTTACGCGTTTTCACAAAGGACATTTTTGGGATCAGCGTGATCGATAGGTCCGGGTAAAGAATTAAGATTGAGCCAAAAAGTCGAGTCTTGCCAGTCACTGTTGATGCAAGAGTGTCTTACACAATAAACCAGAAGTTTCATTGCGGAGATTTGGAGTCTGAGCTTCGGCTTGTCTTCCTGCTGAACATGATTTTAGAAAGCGGAGAAACTATAATTTAGGTGAAAATACGCAATGCCCGGATCATGAAGGAATGACCGATACATTAAGGATGCACTACTTGGACACGCACAACTTCCGCAGGTGAGCCCTTATATGGTTTATAGATGTAGGTTTATGTCATTGAATGCTTTCAGAAGAGATCTCGCGAATGGCACAATTCCTGACAACAATGGATATCTTCTTCCAAAGGCTACGAATATGATTAAATTGGTAAGCATGTTGGTTAGGACAAAATCTGAGAAAGAATTTCAGGAACTGGATTGCGAGCTGGAAGCTGGCGCGATTGCGCATGCTAGCACTTGTCCGTATACTGTATCGGATCCAAGCACAAGGGCAGGGATAGGGGAGCACTATCATCGTGTTGCCATCAGCAGCACGGTCCCTACGTACAGAGATGGAATCAAAAATGTCACTTTCGAACCTTGTCGTTGCAATCCTCAGTATAACACCTTAGTTTTAGGCTGTCACTAATTGGTGGAAAGTTGTTCGTCATTATCCGGGCATTGGGACGGCAGCGATGTTCAGAGCGACTCATGTTGGGACACCAATCGAAACTTTCACGCAGGTACCAAGAACGTCTCTGCTTATCGTTAGTTGTATGTCATCTGTGAAGGCGTTTATCCTAAAAACATTTCGACTATTTCAGATGGGATGGGCAAAGACATCAAATTTGGGTTGCTCCATAGTAACTTGCAAGTCAGACTATGTGGTTATCTGCCGCTACTATCCTAAGTATGTTCTGCAGCTTTTCACTACCCAGTTGCCTTTACCGTGACCATTCAGGGGGAACATTGTTGGACAGAATGTTTATATCACTGGAACACCCTGCTCGGGATGTATGGGTACCTGTTACTCCGATTTGGGATTGTGTTCTGCATAGAATGATATTGCAATAAAATGTTTCATTTGTATCCTCTTCAAAAAAGAATTTCGGGAAAAAATCCCCAAAAGATTATCAAGTAACTACGTGATAATATCACAAGGCTTTGGTCATTAGCCACGCACATATGCAGAAGATGCATAACAGAGCTGCGTCAGCATACTTGCCTGTTTAGTTATGACTAGCCGCGATTGGTAGAGGATATGGTATAGTGTAGACCCCGGCCAGGTTCCCATAGGTACCTCCGCGGCGCAACCGCAGCGCGCACATTTCTTGATGCTTCTCACCTCACTTATGAGCAATAGGGCACATCTACGCACCATAGGAGAGAATTGAGAGGCGGAAAGCCGTAAATACACTTCGAAAGAAAGCAAGAATAAAACGCACGCAACCTCCATTAGTACCTCAAATTCAAACAATGGCTGCAAATTTCAGACCCGCAGATGGAAAAGCGGTAATAAGTAAACGTAGAGCAGAAAATAGAGCAGAAAAAGAACAACAGCATTCTCAAAACGTTTCTTCTCGTAAACTTAGGAACTAAAATGGTAAAATAACTAAAAAAATGTGGATATTTCCGTAAACAAATCCGTACCAGCTTCTTGAAAGGCTTAATTTGACCTAATACATGTCTACACTCTAAAAATCGAGTTGAGCGGGACTCTTATTTAGTACAAAAAGCTTTTGGAGGAATACTCTTTTAGAATACACCTCAAATCTCAATCTCTCAGGAAAAAAGGGAAAAACCAGGACTAGTACTCAAGACCGAAGTTCTCAGGCCTAGTAGAGCACGTGAAACCTCATCACCCGTTATGCGAATTGTTTATACCTGAAATAGAGGGAATATAATAAAACAAAAACAAGAATGATAGAAAAGCAAGGAATTCCATCGACAGGAGGCGAGCTGAAGGTGTGCGTTGCGGATGCGTCGCGCAGGTACCTATGGGAAGCTGGCTGGGGTCCACACTATATAGCGCATATCACAAAGATATGGTAACATCTATGCAGTTTCTATCAGGAACGAACCAAAAAAATGTTTCGGTCGGAAAGAAAAGTAACTTTTCTCCAGATGAAAGGCGAAAAAATTGCAATTCGTTCTTCAGCTCCTCATTGCGAAAAGAGTGACAAGGGAAGCATACTAATTGAGGCTGGCTTTTTAAATGAGACATACATAGTGAATCAGCTTGAAACGCTGATTTCGGATAGCTATTTATAGCTGCTGAATGTCATTCGGAAAGAAAGTTATGGACCTTTTCTACATGTGTGATTGACACTACTTATCTTAACACTCTATTGAATTCTTTCCGAAAAAACGTACTTGGATACTGACGTATCATCTTAGCCTTTTTACGTTGTTAAAAAACTTAACGCAAACGAAGCAGTCAAATGATGATACCGTAATGTCTCTGCATAACTGGAGTCACCGATTCAAGCTCATTCCGTATATAGATGTCCTCTTTCAGAAGTCCACTCAGTTAGAATCCCTTGCGTGGGAGCGGATGAATATTTTCAAAGCCGAAATTCCTGAACTCAAAAATCAAAAGGAACCATCTCCCATTGTTAACCTACACAATGCTCGAAGATACAATACCGATCATAATTCGTCAAAAAAGTTGCCGAAGTGCGGCGCACTCCGCCACACTCCGCCGCACTCCGCCATACTCCGCCGCACTCCGCCACACTTCGCCGTACTCCGCCACACTCTGACGCACTCTAGCACACTCTGACGCACTCTAGCACACTTCGCCGCAGTCCGGCGACTTTTTTGACGAATTATGAGCGGTATTGTAATCATTGAGCTACGATATTCAACGTGGTTTGTCCATCATCAGGTTCCCCAAGACCGGGGAAAAGTTTGACGTCGTCGGTAGGATGTACAGGTAAGAGCAGAACTGCTCATATTTATCGACGTGCAGTTAGCTTGCGCTTTTCAACTCACATGGCTAGAAGAACACCTCGTAAGAAATTCCTAAACTGGCTCGTATCATGTATCATCGGCTCCACGATTCGTGTAGAGGCGGGGTTTTGCCAACTCAAAGCGTGGCGGTTTTCGATAGCGAGAGAGTACAAAAAACAATGCTATGACGTGGAGGTTTAACAAGTTTACCTGTGTTATCAGGTAAAGTCTGCAGTACACCTCTACACGAATCGTGGAGACGATCATACAATCCCGCTGGGAAGGGAAGTGGATCTAAGAGGGAACGCATCATATTTTGCTATTTTAAAAATATGTATCCTATTTTTTCTGTCTATGTCATAGAGGTGCTTATACCCCGACCCTTGAATCTAGTGGATAACACAGAACATTGCCATTCAAGCTGAAAATTTCAATGGAACTCTTGATATTTCTCTTCGTTTTCGAAATCGTCTATCTATCCAAGTTGATGAAGACGTTGTAGAGTTGAACTGAAGATCTACTATGAAAAGGAAGCAAAACAATACAAAACGTTGATTAGAACATCCTGGTCGTTTTTAGCAATGACTCGAAACTATCACTCTCTAAATTGTTTCCGTTATGCGAATTTAGGCGAAAAAGAATATAAACAACGGGTTAAAGTACCTGACTTGACTGACAATAGTCCACCTCTAAGTTTTGGGCAAATCTTTATTCATTGAACACAGTATGCTGTTCTCTTAAAGTTAATGTTTATATTTGAGACTCGAATAAAAATGGGGTCATTATCAATGAAAAAACAGGTTAAAACCACACTGTTACGTAAGCTAGACAAAATCTTGATAAGACCTGTAGTGAACAAGTGAATGACACTTCAATCGCTTTTGATACGTGGCAGGAAGACACTCCTTCCTATGAAGTTATGACCAAATTTGGTGCAAGAAAAGAAGCGATGTCTTTTTTCAGATATTGGGTCCGGATAACGGAAAATTGTTTTTTTTACAATTCTTGACTTCGAATTCCACAGTTCGCATAGCTGTGAATAAAAATTCCAAACTATAGTATTGCAAAACGGTAAACGCTTAATTACTTACTGTTAGCAAAATCAGTTTGATAGAGATCGAGTTTTGCTCTCCAAATCGTGGAAATGGCTTGCTCGATACCCATTCCATTCCTGGCATTATATACTCAGTGCACTCAGAAAGCCATTATTACTTACGCCAAAGAGGGTGGCTAAAGTTGCACTTGGAGGAGAAACTTGGAACAGCACAATGCTAACGGTTTAGTGGAGAAGGCTACCCATCAACGCCATAACCTATGTTTCAGTCGCTATATCCTCAAATCGTGACGAACATGGCCGTTGCGACCCTATTGTTGTTTGAGCACCGTGTCTCGCGACGCTTTCCTGCTTTGCTAAGGACGAGACTGAATCGAGGGCAGGGCTCGGCACGAGCTGGCACCAGGGGAATTTCAAAACGAAGTTCTCTATGATCTTGAGAGAATTTCGCACGAAGTCCCCTCTGACCCTAAATACGTAAAAATTCCTCAGAACGAAACGTCCACTAAAAACAGAAAAAATTGCAAGATTCCGTTCTTCTGAAAAAAAAAACAACGCGAAGAACAATACAAGAGTAAGCAAGAACACAAGAACGACAAATATTGAATATTGGGCGCTATTCCACATTAGTTGACCCAAAAAATGAAAATCGTGAATTTCGCTAAAACTTCGTCTAGGGGGTTTTTAGTATGCTACACGAATATGATGTTTATTTCGTGCGACAGTGCCGTCCGGTGGAGTTACGGTAGGACTACGGTAAAGGGTCAAAATCACGGATTTGCCCGAAACTTGGTTTAGAGGGGTTATTCGGCCCGCTGATGCCAAATATCACATTAGTTTTGGACCGTAGCGTCATTTTTTCAGGTTACGGTAGCTACACGATAGCGGGTGTAAGACATAGTTCTGCCTGAAACGGGTGCACGGCAATTCGGATGATCGTGAAGCTTTGCACACACGACCACCGCCGCGCGCTACACACCTCGCTGCGGCTTTTGCCTAAGAAAAGCACAGGGGGAAAATACATTTGCCGATTTGTGATTTTGATCCTTACCGTAAACCTACCGTAATTATGCAGAGAGACGTCTTCATGCGGAGAAAGTGTGACATTTCCAATCAGCATGTCGAATAACCCCTCTGTGCGAAATCGCAGCGGATTTTGAGATTTTGACCTCCTACCATATACCCACCGTAACCCGAGAAAGTGACGCTATGGTACAAAACCAATGTGCTAGCATCAGCGGGCCGAATAACCACTCTCGTCCAAGTTTCGGGCAAATCCATGATTTTGACCCCCTACCGCAATCCTACCGTAACTCCACCGAATGGCGCTGTCGCACGAAATAAACACCATATTCGCTTTTAGCGTACCAAATAACCTCCCTAGACCAAGTTTTAGCGAAATTCACGGTCTTCATATTTTGGGTCAACTAATGTGGTATAGCGCCAAATTTTGAATATACAGGGTGTCCCAAAAAATGTGAACACTGTTTGATTGTTAAGAAATCTCTTGCTTCCATGTCTTTCGCCGAGCTTGAGGCACCATTCTGTAAAGCGAGGTTTAACTTAGATCTACAGTATGGAGCGAACCATCGATTGCTCTTCATTACTGTAGGATTACAGTGGGAACTTCGACAAGAATTTAGGCCATTGGAGGCCATATTCTTCCTCGGAACAAAACCAAACAAGCCAAAAACTCTTATACTATGATAGTGGCAGCCCCTGATTTCTAATATGAAATTTCCACTTTACCGTGATGCTTCTTTCCAAGGTTATCCCAGGTAAACCGCAATAATTGAATTTCCAGCATTTGTCAGAAATGTGATTACAACATCAAAAAAGCTAAAAACACTCGTAAGAAGTTGTGTAGTGGAATCAGCGTGCTCGAAAACCCTAGTACACAATTTTTCACATTTTTGAAATAAATTTTGTCAAAGGGCATATTTCACAATGGAGCCACAAGCTGAAAGTTCATACCGTATCCTACAGTAACGAAACGTAATCGGTAATTCGCTTTATACCATAGGTCTAATTTGAACCTCGCTCTACAGAATGGTACCTCAAGCTCGGCGAAAGACGTGAAAGCAATGCAGTTATTAACGATCAAACAGTGTTCGCATTTTTTTTGGGACACCCTGTATAAATACATAAATATTGAATTTGACCGAGTGATGAAATGAAATCGACGAAATTCGCGCAGCATTTGCTTATAGCATGCTTTGTGACTGGAGCAGGTTTTTCGACTACGGCAGACCCAGGAATTTTCAGATGGCTATAAGTCGTCTAAAAGAAAACATTACAAAATCGATTTTTATCTGTATGTAAACTCTTGAAGTGTAGATAAAATCGATATAAAAAAGTATGAAAACTTGTGTGAGCAAAGGTCGGTGCCAGCTAATTCAGAAAAAAGTTCGGCACAGCTTTCATTCACATAAGTTTTCGTAGAATTTTATGCAATAGTTTGGGTTCCTCAACGCGCATAAATACACCAAATTTGGTATCATATGACCATATGACTGCGTTTTATTTGCAAACAAGGCTTTTGTATGTTTGGAGCAGAATTCACATTCGTGCGCTGTGTCAGCACCGGCATGTCGCTGGCGTACCGACGGCATATCGTTGGTACGCGAGTGGCATTCTAGCAAACAACCGAATGCTAGCCTGCAAAAACGACATCCTTTGCTTTCCGCCCCAAAAACGATATCCAGCTTGACCCGGTGCCAGCTATGCCGAGTCCTGATAGAGGGGCGTACATGGCGGAACATCTAAAACGATTTCCTCGCTTCAAAAGCAATTTCTTGCAGTCGCATTGGATGTGGCTAGCATGAGGAGCCCGCTTTAGTAATCCGTCAAACTGAGGTGCTCCGAAATCTGCTCGTACACTGCCTTTCACTTTTAAATGAGAGTATATCAAAATTGGCCTACTCTGCGACATAGCTGTTAATATACAATGTGTCTCAATGGCAGTGTCCACGCTCTACAGCTCGTGTCCTCGCAGCCGTTTCGCTTGGGGCTTGCGTCGCGTTTGCGGATGTAACATTCGCTTTTTATTTATCAGCTTTCATAAATTTTCTCCCAAACATGACTCAGCGGTGCTCGGCAGCACAATTATCTCTATTTAAAGTTTTTTCTGTTCCTCGTAAATTTTTTTGGAAAATCCTGTTCTATTTACTGTGAAAGGAGAGAGCTGGAAGTTTTTGCTATATGTAAGTATCTGTAATTGCGTAAACAAAAGATAGGAAAAGCCCGTCTTTTGAGAAACATTACAGCATGGAACCTGAATGATGCATTGCCGCCAAAACCCTCCTTATTTACTCATTGATAATTCGGGCAAAGCAGCCTATCCATAATCTCCTTCTTTCTGCCTAATGAGCAAAACGGTACTTCTGAAGTATTAGGTTGGCACACAAGTTTTGCAGCTGATTTCGTAACTATTAGAACCAGATATATGCGCAAATAGTTTGATTTTGTAGCGAATTGGAGAAAATTTGCGAATTTTTCTAAACTGGTCAAATTCGAAATTTCAAGGGTCGAAAAACCAAAAACAAAGCCGTTTGCAGTCTGAATGAGCGCATCAGCCAAAACTGTACCCGAATTGTTGATCGAGGTATCTCTAATGATTTATGCAGTTTTGCTTGATGTGTTTGATTCAGAGTAAGAACGGCTTTATTTTTGTTTTTCGACCCTTGTAATTTCGCATTTGGCCAACTCTCGAAAAATGCGTCAATTTTCTTCACTCCGTCAAAAATCAAACTGTTTGCACGCATTTGTAGTCTCTAATCTACATTATTCCCAAAAATTAATGTGCCACGGTTTGAAAAGAGAAAACTTACAAAATTAGTTGCAAAACCTATGTGCCAACCTATTATAAAGACGGCTTTTATTCTCAAAAAATGATCCTTGAAGAACAAGGTCGCATCAAGAGCTAGGAACTCGAAAATCCAAAGAAGCAGGCTGGCGAGAGGGCGTCATTTCTGTTGGTAAAGAACGAGACGACGCGTGAAAATTAAGGGGTTTTGACAATGCTGAAAGGCTCTTCCACAGCAATATGTACTTTGATGAGAGTACTTTGATCATTTTTGCAGAATAGACATTTCGGAGTTCCAGATTTGCGGGACATACCTAGGCCTAGCTCCATCTATGATGCGCTGTCGGAGTTTGCATAGATTGTGATTTGAATGGTAGACTCATATAAGAAAGAGCAGATCTTTCAATAACTGTAATTGATAGTAATCTCATTCTGTACTGGTTTTAAGTGATGCATAATCCAATCTGAACAAAGTTCTCTAATCCGAACAGACCAATCAACATAAAAGAGTTGATCAACATGAATGCATGGTATCGAAATGTTCTGCACGGCCGCCTATGTGGTACGTCTTCATTACTCACACTTGAGGACAGTTTGAAACTGTAAATATGTGACTTCAGGTAGCAGCAATACTACCAGCACTTGTTCATGGTAAGCTCCGACTATTTACCTTCCTACGCCCGTTGTGTTTTATACAAAATAGTTGTGACTATACGCTTAATTGGAAAGCGAATTTCCTCGACAGTTAAACCTTCAGAAGCAGTTTGATACAGTGGCAATGTACATTATAGAGAATGAGCCAGAGAAAAGCGGCTCTAGTAACCGTAAATGCACCTTGCAAGTCTACATAGAGTTATTGAGTTGACAAAAGTTCCTTGTTGTTAGTTAATGCTAATTTCGCTTGTGATTAAGTAAAACATGAGGACTCAAAAATTGTTCTCTATTAAAATGATTATTGTAATAAATGAGAAATAGGATACCCAAATGACTCTGCAGGAAGTAAAATTCTAAGCGTGGATTGTGGAAATTTTTGAATTTTTACAAAATATTTTTAAGTGGCTGGGTGCCTTCAAGCTGCTTGGGGATGCCTGCCTCAGTCTGATTGCAACACTCATTCTAATGCGAATCGTTACCATTAATCCTATACGCTTGAAATGCAAAGACAAATGGCTGTAAGGTTGCTCCATAACGACTGCTCTAATGTGATGAAAATACAGGGTGCCCAAGATGCCCATTGTTTGTTTGTCAGTAACTCCTTTGCTTTATATCTTTTATCTAGGGGTACCATTCTGTTGAGCTAGCTTCAACTCTAATTCACAGTATGGAACAAATCTTCGTTCCTTCTTTGTTACTGTAGGATCTAGAAACTTTCCAGAAGGTTGTGAGCCATTAAGAGTCGCTATTTGCTTTGAAAAGCAAAGCAGACAAGTAAAAAACTCTTATACTAGGATAATTGCTGTTTTCAAGCATGAATTTTGCACACCACAGTCATGCTTCATTTATAAGTTATTGCAAGTAAACGGTAACAGCCGCTTTTCGAAAATTCTTAAAAAATGTGATTAACGCACAGAAAACTTATAAGTTGTGAAATGAAATCAGCACCATGAAAATCTTGTTGCACTATTTTTTAAAATTTTTCTAGGGTTTTTTCCTATAAAACAGCCTGTTTCACAATAACCAATCCACAACAACGAAGAGAGACTGGTGATTCGCTTTAGGCCTAAGGCATAATTCTCGCGATTTCGCGAAATCGTCATATCCTCGCGACTTGGCGATTTGCCAGATGTTTAGAGATTAAGCATGCGAGGCTTTCAGATGCATGCATGCGTAGATTCCGTAAATTGTAACAAACGCAGCAATTCTGGCCCAAGCAAAGTGCGTTTACGACCAGCTATGGAGAGTCGTTGCAGTGCCAAATCGCGCGGCGACTAAAATCGCGTGAGGTATGCCTTAGGCCTTGAACTGTAAATAATAAGCTGAAACCAGCTCTACAAAAAGATACTTGTGATCGGAGAAAGACAATGAAGCAAGAGAGATATTAACGATCAAGCGGTGTATGCTTCTTGAGCCACCCTATATTTCACAACTGATTGGGACGGAAGAATGCCGTATTTTTTGAGCTGCCCTATAACCAAGAAATCCGCCAGATAGGTTCATCAGAGCATATAGTCTGCTAAACTTTCCGGCTAAGTTTATAGAGACGCTCATTACGTTCAATAAACTCTTCAATCCATGGTCCTTAGTAAACCTCCGTCATTCCACTTTAGCTGAGTCGGGATGAAGGTGCCTAAAGCTCAGCAAAACAACAACGCTATTGATCTAAATGTGGATTACTTTGTTGACACTGAGCATGTGCCTAAGAAAGAACGGCTCTGACTTTTGTGCAAAGTTATTCAAACAGCTAAACTAATGCGATTCAAATAAACAGTTTTTGATAGCGGCCAATCGAATCGATGATAACTGCCATCAAAAAATTCGCTTGGCAAAGTAAGGATAAGACAAATCACTACATTTTGCCATCATTTCCATAAAAAAAATCATTGCCACAAGATGAATTGTAAGATATTTCGCATTACAAGCAATCTTCTAAGAATCTACTCTTTGCGGAAAGGACAACACTTAGATTCTATTCTCCCGGCCGCAACCACCATTAATCAGTCTTTCATGATCTTAAGCTCGCAAAATTGTGCAGTTTTGCACATTTGTTGTTCGTAGCATTACATCTGCTTACTTTCCCTCAAGTGCTCATGGGCAACTTGCGGAATTTCGCTAATTCTCCACTTCTGCACACTATATTCGTGAGTTTGGACCCAATGAACTTGCCGTGAAACGAAAACGCGCTCAACGAGATAGTCTTCTGGCAGCTCAGCTGATTTTTTGCTTACGTGTTCCTATACGCTATGCTAACTCCGAAAATCCACGCTGGAGAGCGCGATAACGGCGAAAAAGGGCACTTACACAGGAGAAAAATCAGCAAGTAGGGTGGGAGGTCTCCCCAATGTGAATCCGCGCTTCCAGCTTCCATTCAAAACAGTCGTTCGCACTTGCCGGTGGCGATGTCAGGGCCATAGGTGCGATAGGGGGAGCCGGGCTCTCCCCAGGTGAAGGGGGTCTCGGCTGTTGCCGACCTTCTAGGGTGAAGGGGGTATCTGAGTCTAGGGGGGGAGGAAGAGAGAAAAGGTAAAAAAGCGTGGTATGAAGAGCTCTAATTTGTACCTTATTTAGGCACAAATTGAAAAAAAAATTAAAAATTTTCAAATGAAATTAAAAATTTTTAAAAAAGTTGATTATGAAGATCTGTGCTCCTGTTTCACTGCATCAACAAAAAACGAAAGCAATAAGGTTTATCCCAAAAGATGTACAAGTTAGGAACAACTTCATTTCCTGCACATCATCATCAACAACATCACTATCGCTAACGTCAGAGACAACAAGTTCGCTGCCTGAAAAATCTTCTTCTTCCTCCGAAAGGTCATCCGAGTAGAAGTAGAATTGCGTGCTAAAGCGTTCTGAGTCGAAATTGGATTTGAGACTTTCTTCTTCTTCTAAGCGCTTTTGTGATTTTTTTCCTGGCCCTCTGGTAACACCAGGAAGTCAGCAGGTAGGTGACCAGTTTCTTCATACCATTTTTTAGGATATTTCAAAAAGTCGTACGGTAACAGCCTGTCTGGACCACTTATACCAATCCTTTAAATGAAGTTTTTAGATAACAATGTGTTTAGTAGAAGGTTGTCAAATCTTAAGTATTTGCTTAGATGCTCTATCGTTGTACGACTTCTGCGTTGTGTTCTGATAACAGAGTAGATAGAAAATTTCGTTCTCCACCTCTGCCGTGCTAGTCGGAATGGAAATTAGCTTTGCTAGTAAGTCCATCAGATTTTTGCGGTAAGTAATGGGAAAAGAGCCAGATCGCATATGCTTTCGCAACACGGGAAGGAAATAGTGCATACTTTTTTTGGGCCTTGTCGAACTCTGGCTTCACCTCCTCTGGCATACGTCCTGTTAGTTGATTAGAAAGCTGCTCAACTTCTTCTTTAACAGCATCTGCGGAATAGCCGAAAAAAGGAGGTACTATGTTGCGCGTTGGTTTTTTTTCAATATCATAGGTCATAATGTCACAAGGCGAATAACTTTCAAAAGCATAAAGCACAGAGTTGGGTTCGCACTCCAGCCGGGATCTAAGTGCAGTAACTATGCTTTGTACTAACACCTTCCTTTTGTTCATATCCATATTTGTGGATTTAGCAGCCTTGAATTCTTCAGCAACCTGAAGATCAGCAATGGACTTCCTGGACATTTCCTCATTGAAACTAGACAATCTGCTTGGATTCCTTATGCAGGAAATCAGAGAGTTCGCTCAATTGCCAACTCTGTATCAATGTCGACAACATTTTTGTCGGTGTAAGATTCTCCTTCTGCCTCGCTGTTGGACTGGAACACATGCGAGTTATCTGCGATTTTGTAAAGTATTCTGCCTGCCATTTTTCAAACTGCCAACCTTTCCAAAACATTGAGGAATATTTTAATAACATGTTATTCTTCTGAATGTCTTAGAGTTTTTAATTCATTGAAACCAACCATTCTCTAAAAATTAGGTAAGGTGAGTCTAGAGCGTTTTCACGAAAGTGACCTTCTTCAGCACTAGGTTTACAGAGTATAGATTCCAGAAATGGGCGGGTTTTGTGTGAAGGTGTGGAAATTCACCAATCTCCCATAGTTTTTTGAGTGTGTGCTAACAATGATGGCATAACTGTCAATCAAAAGCGCATTTTTTACCAAAAAAACGTAAACATATAACAACGATAAGCACGCTCAAATAGACGCGTTCGCTCACGTTCCCGTTAGTGCTGATAACGATTTCAATCCACAGCACATTTTTTACTATTAACTTGCTCCACCTCGCTCTTATTAGGTCGTCCAGAAAGTTTTTGCACACGAATTTCAAAATTCATAACTTCTGATTTTTCCAACCGATTTGACTGCTTCCAATTTTATGTGAAAGTGTAAGCCATGCTCTTTATAATGACATCTCAGCTGCTTAGTAATGGTCATCTGTTGCATAGATAGGAGCGATAGAAGAAAAATGGTAAAAATTTTAAATTTCTGTGTAGGGTTATAAAAAATCGGAGACTTGCAACAAAAATCGGAGCAGTCAGTACTGTAGGTTCTTTCACCAGCTCTTTCTAACAGTGCAAAGTTTGCGCCGATTGAGCGTCTCCATGAAAAGTTATGGTTTCCCTGAAGAATGCCAAAATAAATCAAATTCGCCTTTTTGTACTGCTTGCTCGGAAATTATAACTTTTCATGGAGACGCTCAATCGGAGCAAACTTTGCACTGTTAGAAAGAGTTGGTGAAAGAACCTAAAATACCGACTGCTCCGATTTTGTTGCAAGTTTCTGTTTATGACCCTACACAAAAATTCAAATTCCGAGTGATTTTGTTTGAGCTTCTATCTATGCAAGAGATGACCATTACTAAGCAGATGGGATGTCATTACAAAGAGCATGACTTACCCTTTCACATAAAAGTGAAAGCAGTCAAATCGGTTGGAAAAATCAGAAGTTATGAATTTTTGAAAATTGTGCTCAAAAACTTTCGGGACGACCTATACAATGTGTTGGCTTTTATGGGTTACCGGAGAAAATGATTTTTAGAGCCGGGAAGCAAAGAAGCCCTAACATGCTGTATACCATTCGAAAGCTGAGATCATGGAGAATCGACGTAGACCGTCGACTTTTTTCTAGGTCTTCTGTGCCGCGAGATATGAGAGATTTTATGTGCTTCAAAAATTAAGTGATTTTGTGTACTTACTCTCTTCTCTCCAAAATGCTACGAGGATAAATAAATAATATAAATAAACATAAATACCGTTTCTTTAGTAAATTTATGAGTGTACTTGTTGTTTGAGGTACCTAGCCTGCTTTTCATAACGATTTTTATCATATTCTCAGAGTACGATACCAATCTCAGCCCAGGTGAAGGGGGTCATCGGGAGTTTGGCCTCAAAGTGAAGGGGGTAAGATCCATCACTCCCCCTATCGCAACTATGGTCAGGGCGGCTAGCGGAATCGAGAAGACCACTCCGGTTGGCTGGGAACGTGAATACATAGTGGAAAAGACCCCTCCCATCTGCTGCTTCTCCTCTGCATTAGAGCTCTTTTTTACCGTTTTCACGCCCTCTAACGTGGGTTTTCGAATTTCAGCATCGATTAGGCCCGGTTGAGCACAAAACCTCAACGTCGCTCGGACTTTGCCTTCGAAGCATTGGATGATACATGATCTTATGTTCAGATGAGAAATTTTGCGAGGGCGTTCATTCCAGTAAAACTCAGCTGAAAAAGGGATGGGTACATGGTTTACTACGGCCTTATAGCATTGTTGTGATTCACCATATCGACATAATTTATCTCAGGTGCTCCGGAATGTGATGGAGGTAGTATGGAAAGTACGGACGTCAATGACCAGATTCTCAAGACTATCAATGAACGACGTTCAACTGTCATCAAAGGAAATCAGAAAAACGGAATAGGAACAGAGACTTTGCCCGCTGGGAAATACATGAATCAAATCGTACGATGTTTTTTTTTAGTTCTCAGTCACTGATGTAAATGAGAGCGAGAAAGAAAGAGACGCACAGGCTGACAGGTGATCTTCAAGCAATGGAATGCTTTCAGTACTGGAACTGTGATCTGGAAAAAGAAGCCATGGCCGGTTTGACCGCCGATTGTGCCGACCCTGCAGCGGTGTCCGGCAAAAGTCAAATAGTCACTTCGTACGTTTGACCATTCATCATATAGATGTCTTCCGATTTTTCTTCGGGCTCGTAACCCTAGATTTTTGAGCACAGGGGCGTGGGCGAATTTTTTGAAAACTTCAAATGTTTGTTTACGTTGCTTAAAAGCGATGCAGTCGTTTGCTTGTTCGATCTGCATAATACTAATTGATACAGATAGATGTGCAAATTTTTAGAGACTACTATGATGATGACGAGGACGTGCCTCCATTATCTGTGCCTGTGGGAACTTGGTTAGACCGTATTAATGACTATGCTCTCAACGAATATAAAAATGGTGCGGTGAAATATTCCGGAGAAAACGCTATGACTGATTTTTCAAATGTAGGTTTGCAATAAATTGCGTGACGAAGCTCCCAAAACTTTTCAGATGATCAATCCAAAAACTACTGACATTGGATGTGCTCTTGGAAAATGTGCTAATGAAGACAAAGAAACCAAGTACCAGTTCTACTGCCTAACAAATCAGCCGTATGTTCGTTTTGCCTAGTTTTAGAGTGATGTAGCACATAAGGCAGGCTTTAAGATCACTTTAGGACTTAGGCAGACAGCCAGTCCTCTGTATGGAGAAATTCACTCCGTAGCAGACACGCATTGGCAGCTTTCAAAAACGCCGCTGACCTTGCATTTGCAAGCTCATACGGCTGTGATGTTTCCTATTCTAGACCTGTAAGCGATGGCGACACTATCTACGAGGCGGGAAGCGGTGGTTGCGAGGGCTGTCCTGAGGGCACCAGTTGTGACGAGACCACTAAGCTGTGCGCCAGACCTGTAGCCGAGACGACAACTACAACGACGACAAGTACAACGACGACAACTATGACGACGACAACAACTACAACGACGCCATTGGCTATTTTCCCAACAGGTAGACCTGAATATGCTTCAAAGTCTTAAAGGTGCCGCACGTAAGGTCACCGCATACTCGCTGCTTAGCACAGCTATCGCAGTTGACAGAAATGTATGTAGAAAAAAAATTACGCGATAGGGAGCGTCACAGACAACTGCGTGGAATTACTTATACACTGTGGTAGTATAAATATATCCAAATACTTGCAATTTACAGTCCATGTCAACCGCGTGGACTCTTTTCGATCCGGGCGCCACACCACTGCGCCGCGTTTGCGCGCTACAAGGAAATGGTCAGAAGTTGAAGTAGCCAATCCAAACAAGCTGCCTACCATTTGATGTAGCATAGAACGCTGACTTCAAATCTATTTTCTTTACCCGCAGAATACCTTCGTAGGCGAAGTTATGAGCAATTTCGCTGCGAAAAAATCATGATAAATTGCGAAATTAAGCCTATCATTACCCGTTTGGCTCATCCCTTTAGCTATGTGCCATTTGGAGTAACCTATCTGATTGTTTTAATTCAACATTGAGCCGAACATGGCTCAAAGGGCCAAATTACCCTTTACACGCGATTTCTTAGCAAAATTATGGCCTTCAACGGCTTATAACTTAATATACAAAAGTGTCCTGCAGATAAGAAGGACAGATTTCGAGTCAGCGTTTTATGCTGGATCTTATGATGTGCAGCTTGCTTGGACTGGCCACTTCGAGTTCTGGCCATTCCCTTGTTAGACATTGAAATTGGCCTCATTGAGTTCCGCACGCTGGTCCTCACATTGCCATTGCTTGGTTCCTTGCAAATTAGAAATCTATTTGACACAGACTATAAATCGTGCGGGTGCACACACCTTCTGAATGGCGTAGCATCTTAGATGTTTCTTGCCTCTTCTCACACATATTTTGCTCAGATCCGATCAAATCAAACTCTTGACGCTTTATATGAACGTGAAACCAAAGAAAACAGTAAGAATATCTGGGAGAGTGCGCTTTAAAATCAATCATAGACCATTTGGGGTGATGATATATGCGTAATTGTATTTGATTTCATTGAGGAATGTCTTGAAGGTGCTCCCGCTTCAAAGACTCGTTTCTTGCCCACAAATGTATGATACTAGAATTGAGTGCATGCGACCTGCTGAACCTGCTAGGTCAGAAGTGTGACCGGTCAACCCCAACAGCTTGCCTACTGTCGAAACCTCCACTTGTCAAAACTTCCAACTGCTTCCACGCGGTTTGATTCGGAGCTCATTTCGAAAAGGAAACCGTTGAAGAAGGTAGACCAACATTTTTGAAATGCTCGGATGCGCAAAAGTCATGCTTTGTCTGCTGCAAAGACTGTTCGGCTGCGGCAAATCTGTTTTCAAAAAGCACTTCCACTGCTCCATCCCACCTCTTTGTGCGTTTACCTGGGAGGTTCAAGCATTTGCTCGTTTCCCTCTTCAACATGGCAGAAACGGAAAAGGGAGGGGGGAGGGAGCGGAAAGTTTCTCGCTCGAGCCATATTCTCGCATTCAAATGACATGCCTGCCAAGCACATTCGGATTAGCTATAGTCACGGAATTCCCAGGATTATAAGACATTGCATGCTCCGCTCCCGATCCAGTGTCGCTTAAGATCATGACACCCGGATTTCAAATAAAGTTATAAATCAAAGTTCAGTAGCGAAATTGCTCCAACCAAGACCAAATTTCCGATTCAGAAGTTGTTGAGAATGCTCTTTTCAGCAGTGAGAATTGTTTGTTGCAAAGTTAAGGTTAAACAGTGATAATGCCTAACCGAGATCAGAATTCGGATTTAGTCGAAGTTTTCTTCTTAAAACAAGACTGAAATTCAGAGTTACGGGTTTTTGAGAAGTTTACAAATGAACGCTAAAAAATATCCGTGGCATTAATCTGCATTTGGTTGTTTTCGAAATGAAGATGTTTATTGTTTCTCACTATTGCGAGCTTTTTAGGTCTACTATAGAATTTTCCGGCATTGGGACAGCCTCAATGACCTCAGTGATTTGTGATTTGTGATATTCCAAGAATTATTTGGCTGGGTCATTATTAGTGTCGTACCTTGACGTATTCTTAAAATTGAATTCAAGGAAAAAAACCAATACGAAATACCAACCAGTACCAACCACGTACATGTTCCTGCTTTTGGCATTTCGTTTTTAAGGACATAATTCGGTTTTTGTGACAGAAAATCAAATCGCTACTGATATTGCACAAAACATACATCGTTATCGAAAAGCGATTTCGAGAACCCGTAGAACTGAATTTCTGTCTTGTTTTGATAGAGGAAGTTTCGACAACTGCTAGATCCGAATTTTGATCTCGGCTGGACATTATCAGTGTTGCTTGATTTGCAGCAAGCATTTCTCACTACTAACAAGAAGTTAAGAGGGCAACTTCGAGAACCCCTAAATTATAGATTTGGCATCGACTAGAGCGTGAACTTCGACTTTGAAACTTTCCTTAGTCCCGGTCTCAGCATCTGAAGCGACACTGGATAAGGGAGCAGCACGAGAGTTGTCTTAGTATTTTGAGGGGCTCTAATTTTAGCAAGTCCGACTGTGCTTGGCAGGTACATCACCTAAGTGCGAGAATAGGCTCGGGTGACCCCCTCCCCCATGAATAAGCCATGATTTAGGTGAAAATACAATGTGCCCAGATCATGAAGGAATGAATGATACATTAAGGATGCACTATCTGGACACGCACAATTACCGCAGGTGCGCCCTTGTATGATTTAATTTATAGATGTGGGTTTATGTCATTGAATGCTTTTAGAAGTGAGCTAGCGAACGGCACAGTTGTAAAGAACAATAACAATACTCTTCCACAGGCTACAAATATGATTAAATTGGTAAGTATGTTGGTTAGGACAAAATCTGAGCAAGAATTTTAGGAACTGGATTGCGAGCTGGAAGCCGGTGCAATTGCGTATGCTGGCACTTGCCCGTATACTGTATCGGATCCAAGCACAAGGGAAGGGATAGGGGAGCACTATCATCGTGTTGCCATCAGCAGCACGGTCCCTACGTACAGAGATGGAATCAAAAATGTAACTTTTGAACCTTGTCGTTGCAATTCTCAGTATAACTCCTTAGTTTTAGGCTGTCACCAATTGGTGGAAAGTTGTTCGTCTGTATCCTGGCATTGGGATGCAAGCGATGTTCAGATCGAATCATGTTGGGACACCAATCGAAACTTTCACGCAGGTAACAAGAACGTCTCTGCTTACAAGGGAATGGTCAGAAATCGAAGTGGCCATTCCAGACAAGCTGCGTAGCGTTAGATGCAGCATGAAGCGCTGACTCTAAATCTTTCTTCTTTATCTGCTTATCGCTTTTCTGGACGAAGTTATAAGCCATCAAAGACCATTATTTTGCTTAGAAATTATGCTTGAAATTGGAAATTTAGCCGTACAGAGCCTCGCTCGCCTCAGTGCTGGGCCAAAACATGCAGCTAGCTTACTTAAAATTTTTAAAGCCAGAAGCTGAGCTAAAAGTGCAACAGTGTGCTCAATTTCGCTGTTTTTATGTATGATTTTTTCACAATAAAACCGCTTGTATCGTCCACAGAAGCGGGAAGCAGATAAGGAAGACAGATTCGAAGTCAGCGTTTTATACTGCTCGAATGATATACAGCTTGTTTGGTTTGGCCACTTCGACTTCTGACCATTCCCTTGTTAGTTGCATGTCATCGTTGAAGGCATTGGTCCTGAAAACATTTCGACTATTTCAGATGGGATGGGCAAAGACATCAAAGCTGGGTTGCTCCATAGTAACCTGCAAGTCAGATTATGTGGTGATCTGCCGCTACTATCCTAAGTATGTTCTGTAGCTTTTCACTACCCAGTTGCCTTTACCGTGACCATTTAGGGGAAATATTGTTGAGCAGAACGTTTATATCCCTGGAACACCCTGCTCACAATGTATGGGCACCTGTTACACCGATTTGAAATTGTGTTCCGCATAAATATCACATGAAACACTTTTCATTTGAGTGTGGTGTTTTGAATAGTAGCGCTGTGTAGCATGCAACACTTTGCCAATAGTCAAGTATAAATGCTTCTGAATGCCTTGTCATGGATTAATGAAGAGATGCTCTATTACTGTCACCGCCACACATCCGATGCCGCTATACCAAGTGTTTGATAGCCATTGATAAAGACACATTGATTATGATAAGGTGAAAGTTCTCTCAGTGGGCCAATTATTGTCCTGTAATACAATGCAGAGAGCTTGTGTTTTTTGAGCCGTAACCGAGATTGGTGGGCTGGCTGACGTTTTGGCAGATCGCTTTCTGGCTGAGACAGCTAACCCGATCGGCATTCGATTAAACGTCTCCGCAGCTCAACAAGCAAAGTTCTAAGACGCCGCCCACGGATTAGACTGCCAACAAACACCTTTTTGAGATTGCCGATAGCATACAACAGATACCGGAACAAGTGCTAATTAACTGATCATAACTGCCACTGTGTTCATACGACTACGCAGCCGTGATCCAGGTAAGGAATGGGCTCACGAGTGATACGAGGCTTTACTCTTTGCGATTCATTTGCGGACTTTTTGCGTGAATTCAGAAGGCTTTCAAACATTCGCGAGCTGATGTTTTAGATTCATGCGCTAAGATGGCCACTAATAAGGAAAATGTCAGAAGTCAGCGGATCTTTCATTTATGAAATAGGTGTCATCTGAAGCAGCTTGAAACGCTAAAACCAGAATGGCCTTTCTCAGCTGCAGAACGAATCTGGGTCGGAAGTCAATGAATTCAATTTGCAGAAAATTTACAATTAACGCTGGCTGATGTAACTCCTCTTCTTTTTTCGATGTTCTTTATTTCAAAGTGACAAGCATTCGCACGATTTCCATGATCGCAAGTACTCTAAAGAGCGTGAAATTTGGTGATTGAAACGAACTTGACTTCCAACCCAAACTTATTCTATAGTTAAGAAAGGCTGTTCGGAACAGCGTTACGAGCTGCTTCAGTACCTATCTCACGTCAAAAGGCCACTTCTACTTCAGACACTTCTCTTGTGAGACCTCAAAGTTTGGGTATCTCAAGTATCGCAAATGAGTTCTTAATCCGCATCTCCTCAGACACTGTAGTAACGCAGTGCTGACTTCATCGAAGATATAGGGAACGCTGAAGGGTTTCTTCGGTTAAATTAGCCCTATATACCTGTGAATGATGTTTTCCGCGTTGCCCTGTCTCTAGCATAATACCCGTAACCGTCAAGCTATTCTGTGTGTAAGCGGAAACAATGCAAAGTGACTTGTTCTTGAAAACTACAACGACTTGATTGTGGAAAAAATGCCTTTTTGCTTAGAGCCCAACAAAATCAGCCAGTAATAAAGCGAGCTGGCCTCATCGATGAAATTGATAAGGGATCAGTGGCACGAATAACTCACTACCTACACAAGGATTTCCTCAGCTAAACTAAAACTTATGAAAAGGAAACGCACAAGATTGCACCGCATACTTTTGGGAACTGAGTATGATTGATAGTTGAATCATGCTTAATACGCCTATCGAATAAAATCAAAAAGATTCATTTTGTGGAGTTGACCTTGAATTAGTTGTGGTTTTTCGAATATATATTGCATGTAGATCAATTCTTTTTTTAAATGTAGTTCGCATACATACTAAACAACGAAGCTTCTCCGGACGGCAGCTCGCTCTACAGACCTTCTCTGTTAGAACCTACCTCATCTTAGTCTTCCATTGTGAATAAACCACCTCTCTTCATTACTATAGAACCAGGATGTACTCTTTGAACACTGTGTTTTGTTTTGTTAATTCAAAGCATAGAAAGTTTAACGCAAAAATAAAATCTAAATAGAAAGACAATCACACTGACAGCCGGGCATGGCTTTGGTCTTATTGACACAGGCCTAAGTAGTGTTCGCATTCGTCAGCACACTCCAGACAAGTGGGCCCAGATTCGTATACTGTTCCATCAACGGTATTTCCTCGGAAAAATTATTCGTAGAGGGTTTAAAAGTGCTATGAGTCAAACATACCGTGGAGAATATCGGCATATGACTATGTAATTTGATAGACACTTCACAATGGAACAACCCAATTTTCTCGACTTAGCCCATGCCATCTGAAGGAGTCTCGCCAGTTCTGCTTATAAGTACTTCTATTTTAGCAAAGATTACCTGAGTAAAACTGGTCACCTTGGATCCGACATAGTTCATCCGAAATATTGTACTTTCCGCTATGTCAGGGTAATTGCGATATGCGTCCCACCACGCTAGCACTGCCTTGAATGGTTATTGACAACTTGTATAGAAGCAATTTTCGTACCGCTTTGGCCCCATCTTCAAAATTCGCAAGTCCATTCGAAGGGATTTTATAGAAGTTTTCACCCTCATCCCTTCTAGTTTCAACATTCGATCCATGTGATGGGCATTTACTAGCATAAGCGAGAGCAGCAGCTTCTAATGCACAGTCGTACCTCTGCAAAAAAATTTATACACAAAAGTTTCCGCATAAACTTGATTACCAGTTGCAGCATGTTTGTTGCGGGTAGCAGATAACTATTATCATCTCTTTTAACTTTACCCAGAGCAAGCAAACTCCTGGAAAACGTTTACATGTAACATAAGAAGAATAACTTTGCGTGACGTGAATTTTTTTCTGCTTTGCTTGAAGGCGACGAAGCTCCATAACTGAACAAAAGATTGTTTTTGTCATTAGTGATTGGCTACCTGCGATAGTTATGCATATCGAGAAACTGGCTCCTTAGCGTGTCCGTCATTCCGACGTTGGATGAACAAATTTGATTTTCAACTGTAATTCAAATGTTGGCAATGGATTCCATAGCTTCAAAGAAAAACGGTGTAGAAAGGTCTTCGAAGGTTTGGAAGGAAAAAGTGCTAAATTTACTACTACTATTCCGAAACTAGGTATTCCAACGATATTACGATTTAAAGTGATTTTGACCAGTAGCCTCTAAAACATACCAGAAGTTGGAACGGGTAGTTCTGCCGATGTAGGCGCATTCATTCCTTTCCTGCTATAAAGGAATTTGTACGTATCAGCATTTTCTGACTTTTCTCCTCCTTCGATGGAACAACGTCTGGCTCTGCACACATTAGCATCTGAATACTTAAAGCTTTTTCTTTGCTGCAAATAGCAAAAGAATGTAAGTGGTAGGGGTATTTGTTGATTTAAAGCTATTTCACAATCTTATTACTTTTCCAACTCAGAAAACATTGAATAATTCTATGTAATGGTTTGTATGAGAAGTTCATTTCTTGGGATAAAAATCATTTTGCAATAACTCTTTTCAAATTCGTCATTGCGAACGTAGAAATTTTTTTTACGGTCAGCAAGACCCTGGCAGTACTATACATACCAATATCGGTTGAAACCCAACGATAATTTTAGCCTAAAATGCCAAGCATTGTTTTCAATTACTCCTACTTTGTGAAGACATCACTCACTCTGGAATGATAGCACAAACGCCGTTCATTGTGTAGCAAATGATCAAATATTTTTTACAGAAATTTTTTGCAAAAGATTGGGAGAACCGACGTAATCTGCTCTTTCAAAGCCGCAAAAGATTAAGACTTTTCAGAGTCTTATTATTTTTGGCAATCGAGTTTTTTTTTTGATTTTTATTTATATAGCAAGTGTGTAAGCGCACATTCACTGCACAGAGCCTGTACGTCATCGCATTACTTATGTGGTTTTCAAGGACTTAGTGACAGTTCCTATCAATGCTGAAGATTTATGAGTTCAGAACTTTGTGAAAATTCCATCTCGACAAGTATTTCATGGCATCAGCCCTTAACCTAATTCTAAAAAATCTGTGTTTTTAAATACTTCAGCGGAGACTCTTTCTGCCTTCCAACGACAAGCACTGAAGCTTAACGTCTCTACAAATTAGGTTGCTATATATAGCCTACTTGGTTACATAAACAAATCATAATGCAGAACATTAGATCTTTTTATCGGTTTATTTCTACTTAAAGGCAGCGTCCAGGCAGATCTGGACCTATGGGGCTTTTACGAGGAAAGTACTTTTAGGGCCCTAACTGCCCAAGCGGCAGCTCAGGTAGTGCTGTAATGGCTGAGATATCCCCTCGAAACTGGACTCCGCGACGTGTTTCGCATGGATTCATGGCGAAAAGCGTGGATCCTGGCGCGAAACTGCCATGAATCCATGCGAATACGTTCGCTGAGGCCAGTTGCGAGGGGAATATCTCAGACATTAGAGCACTACCTGAGCTGCCGCTTGGGCAGTGCCTTAGTTAGGGCCCCAAAAGTACTTTCCACGTAAAAGCCCCATAGGTCCAGATCTGCCTGGACCCTGCCTTTAACAGCTCTCGCTAAAATAGTCACACGCAAGTGATACCACAGATTATTGTTCCTCCAAAACTAGCATATCAAAGAGATGAAAAGCGGGCGGCGCTTTCAAACCCGTTGTATCATTTTTGATGCTCTAACAACAAGTAGCGACTGCAAAGCAGTCACTGGAGTTCTTCTCGAAATAAAAAACATCTTTACATACCTTCCGTCGACGACGCCGTTAATGAAGCTATCTGAAAAATTAAGAATGAGATGAGCAAATACTCAATGGTTATGCAAAATTTAGAAAAGCGTAAAATAAATTCTGAGTTATTAAACCGAAGGTATGGAGACACATTCCGATTAATCAGTAATATACTCTCTAAGCAGCTTGATAAGACCAGCAGCACTAATTTGAAAATCTAAAAATTGAAAGGTGAAAAATTTTGGGCATGGCATAAGAGTAAGGTTGATATCACAAGAGCTAAAGTAGGACATGTCATCATTTATACTGCCAAACTCCCACTCGGAGCACTTTCTCCTCAGTAACATGAAAAGAACTACTAACTTACTGTGATCGCAAAAACGTAGGAAGCGACCATCGCTTAATGCTTCAATATGACTTTGAACAAATCGATTGCAACATTTATGAATGTTACTCTATGCGTTGGCTTTGTGCTAAAAAATTATCCAATCCATATTAGTCGGCACTATTGGAAGAGACAAGCTTGTTAATCTTTTTTTTATAGGAGCCATCGATACGCAGATAGCGAGATTCTATAAGCCACCAGTATTGCTGCATAGAAGTTGCCTTAGAACTTTTCGTTTACACCTAAAAAACTAGCGCGCATACGCGCGTATGCACGAAAATGCTAAAAGGGAGTCAGGGCGTGCATACGGGCAGATGCACACGGTCGTCAACGTGTTAGGGTACTTTGTTATCAACAAAAAATTAAAGCTGTGTTGCTAGCCTGAGTGCTCAAAAGCTCTACGGTGCTCTTTTTATTCAGGTGTGTGTAAATCGTGCAACATTGGAATCTCTGTCTCAATTGAATATCACATGTGTCAACTTCAACGGCTCCGGAATTCGCGGCCGCCTCGCGCTGCGTCGCATCCGCTCATGTATTCTTTCGTTGAGCATTTTCTCACAATATAGTGGCATGAGGAGTGCTGTTGTGCAAAAAAGCCCAGAATGTTGTGGAATTATCGAGGTTCAGATTGTCGATATGAGTTCCGGCGATTTGATTTCTAATTTTTATGTCATTGCATCAATAATCGAGATCTATGTTTTACGTCGAGCCAATCATCCACTGGGCTGCAACGGCTACGAACTGAATCGTCTTCGAGGGAATTCGCAAAGAAGCAGTAGTAGTGCTAACTAAGTCCGGAGTGAGTCTTGTAAGTCCGGAGCGGAGGCTTGCAAAAAATAGCGGAAGCATTTTGACAAATAATGAAACTTTTCATGTTTTCAGTTCCATGTCAGAAAAAAACATAGCAAACATAACATGGCATGTGTCAATATCTGTTGTGAAGAGTATATGAAGTAAGTTAAGAATTCGAAGATTTCCTTGGACGAAAATACGAAGTTCTTCAATGGTTCGGATATCTTTTATTTTGACTCAAACTTAAGATAAAGCACTTAACGCTTAAGGTAGAAAGCTATTTTGTAGGGCTTGCTTGTTACGTACCGGAATCACAATATATAATGTAAGATGTATGATTTCATTGCTGTCAGAAGTCAAAAATGAAACAAGTTATAATACGACCTGATGATTAGTTACATCACGCATAGCGCTCACCGCTCACAGGACCTTCGAATCTAGAAACTGCTGCACACCATTAATGTGCTAATTATCAGGCTAGTTTTACACGGGTTTTCGGATGAGAGAATCCGGTCCGACGTAACATTAGAAAAGATGTACTGAGTATGTTTTGGGCTATCAGTGGATAACCACGGTAGAGCTTAAGACCAAGTCTTTCAGGAACCTTAGAGTTTCCTCTTTGCCAATACAGATCCCTAACTTCTAAATGCACTGTTTCATCGTTTCATTCCTACGTCGGGCTGACGAATACAACTTACAAGGGAAGCATGTTTGAAGTGACTTTTCTAATGGTATGTAGACAATACTAAAGAGCATAAAACACTGATTCCAAATCTGCTTGCTCAAAATCCTCTCCCAAGATTTTACCGTAATTCTTAGTAATAAACAGCGATTAGTGAATTTCCTTTACTCTGAATTTAGGCTGAAGCCAGCTCTACAGAGTGGTACTCAAAAATTGGCGAAAGACATTCACTAGGAAAGTTCACGATTGTGTGCACATCTTTCGAGACATTTTCTCCGAACATCTGATTCAATGACGTGGAGGTTTCCAAAACTATGAGATATTCGAGCTCTGCACTTCCACTTATTCATTTGCTCACACTGTTTGGCGATTATTGTTTATTGAATACATCTAACAAAGAAAGCATGTTTAGTGGAAGTGGCTTTTTTAGATAAGATACTACGACACTGAAGGGCGAAAACGTTGTTTTTAAGTCTGCCTTCCTTATCCGCAAAGCCTTTGTGGACGAGGAGTTATATGTGAGTGCTTACTGCAGCAAAAATCATTTGTGCATTTAATACAAAATAAATAGGTAAAATCCTACTAAACCTCACATGAAGCAACCAAGCGTGATTATTTTTTTCTTAGAATAATTATTGAACAAAATGCTTTGATAACGATCACTGCTCCACTGGAGCGCTAAAAAATATTATGACTTTTTTGTACTGCACATTAAATTTTTTGCTCCAATAAACGCTCATAGCTCCTCGTCCACAAACGTTCCGCAGATAAGGAAGGCATCATAGATTAGAGCAGGCAGATTTGGAAGCAGTGTTTTATGCTCTTTAATATTGTCTACATACCATTAGAAAAGTCACTTCAAACATGCTTCCCTTGTAAGTTGTATTCGTCAGCCTGACGTAGGAATGAAACGATGAAACAGTGCATTTAGTTAGGGATCTGTATTGGCAAAGAGGAGACTCTAAGGTTCCTGAAAGATTTGGTCTTAATCTCTACCGTGGTTATCCATTTATAGCCCAAAACATACTCAGTACATCTTTTCTAATGTTACGTCGGACCAATGCTAACGCGATTGCTGTCACGGGAAAAAGTACTTGTCAGAATTTGCTTTTGATATGTCATGAAAAAACTTTTCAAGAATTTTCTGATTTAGTCTGATATAAACATATCTAGCTATCTGTTTAGATCAGCTGACATCTCATATGTCGCTGAAACTAATAAACTGCCCGGTGTCGTATAAAAAAGTTGCCGTAAAAAGAAAAGGATGTGCCTAAGTTACATCGGATCTCATTGTCTTTCTGATATTGCGCGCTTATAAAAGGGCTGCGTGACAAGAGGTGTTATCGCAATGCTTTTGCAATACCTTCTACTTGGTGTAAGTTATCCAACCTTTTCCAAATTTGAGTTGATAAATCTTTACTTTTTTCAGACATTTCTGTTATCCACAGCGCTAGGTAAGTTCATTTCTCTGTTTTCCTAGTCACTTAATAAGCTGGAGCAGCCAAGATAGGTTTGCAATTCCATTCCTTTCCCAAATCTCACTATAAATCTTTATTTTTTTCAGAGATTTCTGGTATCCACAGCGCTAAGTAAGTTTATTTTCGTGTTCTCCTAGTCAATTATTAGGTTGGAAACAAGGTTATGCAACTCACTCAAAAACTTTCTTCTCTCTCTCAACGTAGCGAACTCAGTTATTTCATTGCGTAGATTATGAAATAATCTACAAGCGCAGCTGGTGTTTTGCCGATTCTGACGTTACAGTGGGGTTAGGTAGGCACATGATGTACGGGAAAAACTGTAAATTTTGACGAGCTTTGCTGAAGATTGGCCTAGGAAGTTATCCGACATGCTGATCAAAAACGAACCGAAGTTGCGTGATGAGGCCGTTTGTGTAAGATTACTGTAGGACGATATAGGGTCTCACCGAAAAAAACACGGTCTCACCGAAAAAAGAGGTTTTAACAGATGAATATGATATCTGTGTTCGGCAGGTCATATGAACTTACTGTGTGAAGTCATGGCGAATTTTTGAGGTTATGACTCCTTAGTCACGGACACTGCTGTTTTGCCGACTGACGTCAGCACCCTTGTGTATAGCCATCGTTCGAATTTGTGATTGTGTCAAACACGCTCAATTTATTTCTTCCTTACCGAGCCGAATGAGTCATCCTCAAGCAATAATTGTACACGATTTCGCATCATTGCGCATGTTCTATGCTAGGCTTCATTTTGGCTTATAACACCAAAAATTCTCAAAATTCACTAGTTTTCGAAAAATGTCAAAATCTTTCGGACTCGTGTTCAGTAGCACACGTTGCGCTCTACATATTGCCAAAGTTTGGTATGCCGCCTCCAAAGAGAGTACAGTTAAATTTGAAAAAAAGTGTCATCTACAAACACATTTTCGACTTGATCAATGGACGTCGCTCAGACTTGGTTCAAGAGGTGTCGGATCGTACACAATCATTGACTGCTGGGAAATATGAAAGCGTATGCTTGCAATCTATATCTATTCGTCCTGAGAAACTCGTAGAGTTTATTTTTATATGAAGTATGCTCACGGAGTATTGGAAACGCTTTTTCAAAACAACCATGGTTTTCTGCCATATCAATAGTACGTATCAGCATTTTTACTCCATAGTTTTATGGTACCGAAGTTTAGAAAAAGAAGCAATGTCAGATAGTTCAGGGCCTGTAGGAATATATAGGGTGTCCCAAAAAAATGTGCACACTGTTTTATTGTAAATAACTCTCTTGTGGTGAAGTGTTTCGAGAAGCTTTAGGTACCATTTTGTAGAGCGAGGTTCAACTTAGATTTACAGTGTAGAGCGGATCCCCGATCTCTCATTCTTACTGTAGGTACGGTAGAAACTTTGAAGAGGGTTTTGAGCCATGAAAGGCCATATTTTGTTCCGAAAAGAAACCAAAACAATCTGAAAACTCTCACACTGGGCTAACTAGAGTTGCTGATTCTAAATGTGAAGTTCGCAACTCTTCGTAATGCTTCATTAAAAAATTATGCGAGGTAAGCAGTAGCAGACGTTTGAGTGTTCCTAAAAAGTGCGGTTACACCGTTAAAAAAGCTTCTCAACCTTGTAAAGATTGGGTATTGAAGTCAGGGTCCATAAAAACCCTATCACACAGTTTTCCACATTTTTTAGAACATTTTTGAAACGGCCGCTTTTTCACAGTGACACAATATGTTTGACGTTTTTACCGTCCTCCTACAGCAAGAATGAGCGATCGACGATTCGCTCTACACTGTAAATCTAAGTTGAACTTCGCTCTACAAAATGGTAGCTAAAGCTTCTCGAAACACTTCATTACAAGAGAGTTGTTTACAATCAAACAGTGTGCACATTTTTTTGGGACACCCTGTATAAGAGCAGACTATATCAAGTGTGAATTTGAATTACTGACATTGGGTTTAATGTACGATTGCCATATACTAGCTTCAACTCAAGGTCAGAGATGTAAGGTGATAATACGCACATTTGAGATCTTGTAAGTAATATGGGAGCAGAGATATCGAGGTCCAAATAACCTCATCGATCGAAATCGCCGCACTAGGCCCTTGCGGTGCGGATGTGTAACTGCTACGGAAAAGGTTGACATCAATTGTAACCGTTTTGAACACAAACTATGCATCGACTCAATCTTCTAATCAATAGCTATGTTGCCAAAAATCAAGTCCAAGTACTCAGATAATTGCCGGGGGCGGACGGCCATACGATTTATGGGCAAGCGGGCACCGGAAAAATAGTTCGCCGATTTCTTGCTGTCCGCTTGTAGATATTTGGAGGGATTTCGGCGAAATTTTAGACGAATGCCCGAAAAACAATTTCGTTTTTTCCATAGATTGGCTGCGGCGCAATGGCCGCCATCCCGCGGACCTTCCGCGAGAATATGCAAAAAAGGGGCCGCACGCTCCTTCATGAAGGACCGCACAGCCCGTGGACGCTTTCCTCTGGTAGAAGGTACCCCAAAACTCGGGTAATTAAATCATCGTTGGCACCTCTGCCACATAGAGTCTCACCTTTGCTTGGCGTTCGAAACTGCGTAAGAAGAGTTCGAGCGCCTTTTGAAAGTTTGGTTAGCGCTCGATGAAAGAGATTATTTGACGAGCGCTTGCAGAGAATTTTGTATTGCTGCTCGCTGGCAGATCACGGAAGCACCGCTCGCTGAAGGTTTGTACGCTCCGAAATTTTGCTGGCCGCTTGCAGAAAAGCGAGAGCTGGCGGACAGCCTGTCCCCGGCAATTATCTGAATAAGTGTAGCTCTAACTCTGCTGCACACGTGTAAAATGCTTGAAAAAATTTGATCCCTTACCCTTTGGTCTCACAGAATTCATAGAAGTTTTAGCAAGCTGACTTGAATACCCAGAGTTTATTGCAATCGCACGCTCGATGGGCGCTCGAAAACTCCTCCCCCCCCCCCCTCCCACCTAACAAGTTGTAAGTTCTGAGTTGTGATTTCTGTCTCAATACCTCTCCCCTTTCCCCAGCGTTTCGTTTGTCTACCATAAGCATGATATAGGCACTAGCAAGCATACTTATAACATATTCGTACTTACCATGTCAAATAACTCCTGTGGGCCAAGTACTGGCGAATTCTAAGACCCAGTTGGGCCACTCATGTGAGGTGTTCATTTCCAGACGACAACTACATTCCAAGAATGAACCAGCTACCTCTCTTTGTACCCACTACAAAGCGCTAGTTTCTGTTTTGCCTGTTTCGTTATTCCTGCTTCAAATATCCATCAAACTATGGGACTAGGAGAAAGCCAAACCTTATTTGCCCCATTTTTCGCTTACACTGGTCGTGCTTCAACCAAATATCGCTCAAACTCACCTCAACTCGCTTCGGAATGGTGCGCGGCAGATAGGAACAGCATATTTGGAATCGGCGTTTTCCTGCCAAAAGGCCGAGCTAAGTTAGGTAGCTTTCCTCTTAGGTTAAAAGGTATGGCAGGTAAAATGTGGCACAACCCCAGCAAAGCTGTAGCGCCACACCTTTTCAGCAATTGTGCATTATTCTTTATTGCATTATTCTTGCATTATTTTTTTTCTCATTTTCCCATTAACTTCTCTAAAACATTTAAGTATATATGTTTTTATATCTTTGCCACTGTTAAACCTTCTTCTTTACACAGAATATTCAAAGCGTTTCTTCTGGGGAAAGATATGTTTTTCCTTACCTAAGCGAATGGAAGATACTGCGAAATAGGTTATGGAACATGCTAACTTAGAGCTACTACGTGAATCGCAAAGGCAGCTCGACTTTAGCTGACAATCTCCATGATCTTCTCTATCCCTCTTTTGGCGTTTTTTCCTCTTCTTCATATAATACATCCATGAAATTGAAAGTGAGCGGTTCACTACATCGCCTGTGTCCGCAAAAATTCTTGCTAACTAAGTTTTGCCGATGTTTCCACCAAGTAAACTGAAAACATAATTCTAATAGCGTATTTGGACGCAACAATAAGGAAAATATTGTGCAGTATCTCAGAAGATTGAAAAGAATGAAATTTTTGGAATGAAATTAGACCCTGAGTTTTTTGAAGAGCTGCGTTAACCATCAAACTGTGGTACAAAAGCAATGTGGAATATACTTTAAAGTCAAAAGACTAAGCATCGTAACACTACGTGCCGCAAATGTTGTTTTTAGACCGTTGAGCAACGGAGACACCGTGCACGAGAATGGTGATAGTGGCTGCGAAAGCTGCGCTACAGGAATCAATAGCGATGCAGCAAATAAACCATGTGCAAAGGACGCCGCTTCGGGAGCCGTCTATCCTACAGGTACCATTGAGCAAAACAGAAAATGCTTTACAAAAGACTAAAAATCTTGATGCGTTGATAATATGTGGAATTTCTCATACCATCAACGTTAAAAAAGTAGAGGATAACATATATGTTTTTTTCCGTGGAAAACGAAGTGCATGTCCGACATGGTCAACAACATGTGCATGATCACTAACAAAAACGAGGAATAAGTTGATGCCTGTTTTTTCTTTTTCTACTTCAAAGCTGTGTGGTCTTCGCCACATTTGGTGATATGTACAGAATTGTCGTGGTCTTCGCCACATTTGGTGATATGTACAGAATTGTCGAAGCTCAAAACCTTGCTTTTGTCTACGAATTCAATTTGGTTATCTGCGAAACGCGACTTTCAGCCACCCTCTTTTCGTCATTATGTGCACAACAATTTTCGATTTTTCTCAGCAGTAAATATCCGGTTTTTGATTGTAAGTGAAAATTTCGAAAAGTGCTTCAGGCACGAGCACGAGATGTTTAAAAGCAGGAATGACCGATGAACTGAGAATGAACTATTTGGACATGCACAACTTTCGCAGGTGACTGTAGATAATAGATGAGATAATCTTAATTAACACAGTTTTTCCTGATGAAATTTGTTACAGACATCAGCTTGCTAATGGGCATGTAGCTAAAAACAACGGAAATCTTCTGCCGAAAGCTACGAATATGATCAAGCTGGTGAGTTAGATGTAATCAACGGAACAACGCGGAGCAACCTACTTAGGAATTGGACTGCGACTTGGAAGCGGATGCAATTGCTTATGCTGGCACCTGCCCGAATGAAGTATCGGATGAAAGCACAAGGAGTGGGATAGGGGAACATTATCATCGCATCGCTGTTTCTAAAGCGGGTCCCGCATACGTGGATGGATTGAAAAGCGTAATATTTGAAATCTTTTTCACGTTAGTATTTCCCATTTTACTGCTTTGAGGCTGTCACTAGTTGGTGGAAGGTTGTTCGCCAATATCCTGGCATTGGGATGGCAGCGATGTTCAGAGCGAATCATGTTGGAACACCTATTGAGACCTTTACACAAGTAGGGAATGGAAGGACTTTGCTGTCTTTTTTTTTCCAAAAAAAGGAGACGTGTAGGCTTGTTAGTTGTTATAAATTCCAGATGGGATGGGCAAAGACATCAAAACTGGGTTGTTCCATAGTAACTTGCTCTTCAGACTATGTGGTTATCTGCCGCTACTCGCCGAAGTATGTTCCATGGCTTTCAATATCGCGTTGTTATAAGTGCATCACTTTAGGGGTAACGTCGTCGATGAGAATGTTTACATTCCTGGAACCCCCTGCTCACAATGTATCGGCACGTGTTACAGCGATTTGGGATTGTGTTCAGCATAGAATGTTTCACAATAAATTGTGTTCTGTACATCTTTTCTGAAGCGTGTAGCCGTCAACTCGTACGCCATGGAGAGAGCGTCAAAGCAAAACATGAATTTGAAGATTTTCGATTGCTGGGATTTCAAACGTGCAGCTTGCGCGCGAAAATGTCGAAAGTGGTCTTCCCTAAAGCGCCCAGATTTGAACTTGAACGTGAGGGCGCAGCCCGCCGCTATTAAAGGCACCCACCCAAATCCTCGATTTCGAATTTTTGTCCTTTTTATCCCCTCTTGCGCATGCTGAGTCCGAGACCAAGCCTAAAATTTAACGAAAGTTTATTGAGCTTTATCCACAGTAGACGAGACTAATTGCGCCACCCGTCCAGCCTCGGGCCAGCTGCGGGCCCATCGTAGGGCAGGAACGCAGAGGAACGCTGTGTCTCATCGATTCTTTGTTCTTTGCGCCTGCCTAGCGAAATCGAGTGGGCGGGACGAACCTTCGCCCACTTGATAGGGAGAAGCCAACCTGGCGAATCCGTTTCCCGAAGGATTTTCGAAGCGATTTTCTCGTTTTGAAAGCAGCTTCAGACAGCGCGAGTAGGGCAGTTATACCGTTGAGGGCCTGCTACTGTCAGACATCGAAATCTCATCTTCTCCATATTGGGTGGACGTGCTTCGAGGCGCAGAGTCGTGAGGGACCCTGCGTTTATTATCCGCGTCTGCTACAACATGCGAGCCACTTTAGAGCTGATGGGCTTGGTGTACTCTTTCGCTTTGGATAACGTCGATACAAAAGCCCGGCACCTATAGACTATAACCAATATTATTGCTTTAAAAACAAGAGAGAGAGATAAAGATTATGCCATCATAGAAATGCGAGCTAACGTCATATCTAAACCAACGTCGAATACGACTCAGGGCAACTTGATTCGCTCTTTGAGAAAACACCAGTCGGATTTGACGTAAATTTACAGAGGCGGTAATCGCGATCTCAAAGAAATATGTATCTAGATGAAACTATGGCTAAAAGGAAATTAGGATAGGAGTTACACTTATATTGGCATTATCAATCAGATAACTGCCCTTTTTGTTATTTTAATTAGACGTTCACTTACATTGAATATCATGGCACTTTCGGGACAAACTGTCTGACAGAAAAAATAGTTAGAGATCATCGTTAACATCAACTCTTTACGAAGAGCGAAGTCTAGCATCTTTATACGTAGAATTAAATAATTTGCACGGAAAGCAGGTCGCATCTCACCGCTCTCCAAAAAGCAACGGGAGGCTTTGAGGTTTTTGTTGGTTAAGCACCATTTTCTTCTAACAATAAAGGCTCAGCGGCCGCCAATCAATCGGCGAACGGTATACAATCGAAATATGCCGGGCGAGCGCTTACAAACACCGGCCGAGCGGCATCATTGACCGGCCGGGGGCCTACAATTGAATTGCGCGAAATCAAGCTGTTCAAATTTGATGGTTACCTCATGTTTTGACATGACCAAAATTTCATTTCATCTTCTTTGAAACGAAAGATATTATTCACTAGCTGGCATACCCGGCTACGCCCGGGCTACTTCTTCGATTTTAACAACTTATAGTGTTCAAACAGCTTTACCTGCTATGATCTCTATGACCTATACATAAAATGTTTCGCTTGTGAACAATGTTGATCTAAATTTGGTGTTTTGACAGTAATTTTGAAAGAAGCAACTCAGATCTATAGATAAAATTCCATAGTAAAAGCTTGGTAGTATGAAATGGAATAAGGGTGCAGATCCTATTGCGAAAATACAACACTTCCATCTATTCTTGCTACTGTGACATTTCTGTTGGGATTTTCTAAGAAAGCTGCTCATTTTACTTGACAGGCTTGCTTCCCACGAATGTACTCGTAAGCGTAGTGGGATGTGATTAGCATATCACTCATAATGAGAACATTTTCATTGTGCCATTCTCCGATCGGTTACTTTCTATCTATCTCCAATGCCCTCAGCACTGTAAGTTCAACAATGCCTCCATTTCTTGGCATTTTGCTCGAAGTGGACAGCGACAAAAGTGAGTGTAGCGTAAATTTTGTTTCCTTGTATCGCTTCTACATCAAGCATCCTTCAATTTTTGCACGAATTACGACAAAGAACGTTGCTGTAATTATGTAATCGAATATATTTCATGGATGACTGTCACTAATTGCTGTTGTTTTTGATGCCATAGTTTAGATTTGCAATAGTAGATCCAATTGACATACAGGGCTTATCAATGGCAGTGTTGGGTGCAGTAGCATCTCTGCTCCCACGGGATTCTGCACTTCTTCCGCGAAATCGACTGAGGCTCCGTCTTTTCTACGCTCGCGGTGGGAAATGATCAGAGAGCATGTTCGAAAGAGGCGCAGAGTCCAGGCGAGGCTGCCGAATGGAAGCGAGAGCTGGTGCGCCCGACATTGCAGTTGATAGGCCCCATAAATGCTGAAATAGAAGTGACATTGAGAATTGGCACCCATGATGTTGCGGAAGGATCCTACACACCTCAACATAAGCGCATACTTCATTTAGAAACGTATAGGAGAACCTACTTAGGTGGACTTCTTGTCACCGCGCTTTGCATGCAATACTCAAAATGGGACGTACCGCTACTGTTCACTCAAACTTAGATAAATGATTTGATAAACCCTTCATTTCTTAGATTCAAGTAAACAGATCAATAAATCGATAGAAGGAGCCAACAAAAAGTTGCGAAAAGTAGCCTATCTTCTACGCGTGTCTCATTTATAGGGAAACAAAATTCTGCCTCTTTGATTTACATACGAAGGAGTCTATAAGACACAAACTGATTAACAAACAAAGGTACAGTGGTTGAGTTTTATATATATATATATATAGTTTTCATTGAAGATCGAAGTTAAAGCGGCAATCCAAACGAGAGGAGCTCCAGCCATTTAAATCAACACCGCAGATATGGATGTAAGTTTTCACTTTATTCTTTTAATTTTGTTGTTGTTTTCTTCTCAGTCTCTTTTTGCAAACATACAGAGTGTCCCACAAAATGTGCACACTGTTTGATCTTAAATAACTCTCCTACTTCAATGACATCTGTCGTTCTTTACGTACCATTCTGTAGAGCTGGCTTCAGCTTAGATTTACAGTATGAAGCTGCTCCTATCCTTCTTCATTACTGTAGGATTACGGCAGGAACTTTGAAGATTGTTGAAACCATAAGAGTCGCATTTTCCCTCAGAAAGGATACCAAACAAGCAAAACTTCCATACTTCCATACTACTAATTTTCATATTGCTAATTAGAGTCGCTGATTACAGATATGCAATCGTGCACGCCGCGGTCGTGTTTCTCCAAATGTTATTCCAGGAAAACGGTAACAACTGCTCTTCCACTACTCTTCCAAAATGTGATTACAACTCTGAAAAAGCTCAGAATTTTTGTAAAAATTTGCATAATGAAATCAGCATGCTTAAAAACCTTGCTAAACTTCCAGATTGTTTCGGAATTTTTTTTTATCGAACGACCCAACTCACGATAGCTTTGTATGCTAAAGTTCACACCGTAATCATACAGTAGCGAAAAGAGATCGGAGTTCCGCTTCATACTGTACTAAGTTGAACCTCGCTCTACAAAATGATACCTAAAGATCTATCAAAGACATTGAATCAAGCGAGTTATTAACGATCAAACTATGCACATTTTTTGGGACACCCTGTATAACAAAACTTGAGGTCATTTGATAGTTAAATCAATTAGACTCAAAGTTGGAAAATCTGCATGTATCTTTGTGGTAGGGGAACGAAAGCCGCCAGTTCGGGCCGCCTCCGCGGACTCTGGTGGGATGATATGCAAGCCAAGTAACTGTAAATAGCTGTGAGCTACTTGCTGCTTAGATTTTATGTTTTACTATCAGTACCGTAACAGGAATTTCTGCAACTGAGGCTGCGCTAATGCTTATGCTCATACACTCAATGCGAGCACATCCGCGATGTCCCGTAGAGACCAATGCACCGAAAACCATTATTTACGCCACGATGTATTAGCGAGGGGCTGGCAATAGCAAGGCACTCTTTCCACGGAATAGTGAAGTTGTGCTGGTTCCCTTTGTCGTGTCCAAGTGGAGTAATTTAAGTTACGATACCCTTTCAACACAACAAGGGTTGTGGTCCACGTTGCTCTTGTCCTGCATGAGCAACGTCATGCTCTTTTAGTTCAAGCCCGCGAAAAATCGCCTCGAAAGTCCAAAATGTGCCATTGCAATTAACAACCTATCAACCTGCTCACGTCTGCTCATTCTCGTCTTCTTCTGCATACTGCATTCTCATACTTTTGTCATGAAAATAAAAGCGAGGACAATGCCACACTATTTTGCACATTTGGACGTTATGAAAACTGCACCGAGTGCAGTTTTCATAACGTCGAATGTATCATTCTTAGTGAAAGCATGGGGAGTGACGGTAAAAGAATATTATGGTCATCCAACTTCTTTGACTAGGACTTAATTCCGCACACTGCTTGAAAGGAGGTGTCAGCCTGATTATCCGAACTCCTACGAATGCTGCAGAAGTTTACATAACAGGTTACTGTCATTTCATTCAGAATTCAACAAACTCTACAATCGTTTTCCCAAAGAGCCTTGTCGCTTTTGCATACAACGCTTCAGTCTCATCTTGGACCTATGGAAAACTCATTAAAAAGGAAAACATAAGTTGTCACCCGTATCCAGTATGCGAGCTTATCGACAGCGCAGTTTGCTTAGAACTACTGTACAATCCGGATTGCTGGACAGTATACTTGGGTAATTCGATAATTTTTCATCGAATGAATGAATATCGAATAAATTCGAAAAGAAAAGATTTCGAATAAACGAACATCGAATAAATTCGAAAATAAAAAATCCCGAATAAACGAATATCGAATAAATTCGGAAAATTAAAAATATCGAATGAATGAATTTCGAATAAATTCGGAAAATCAAAAGTATCGAATGAATGAATTTCGAATAAATTCGGAAAATCAAAAATTTCGAATGAATGAATATCGAATATATTCGAA